GCTCAGTTCTTACACCATACTCATCTCATCACTCTTTCGCGACAGTACGGTAGCACTTTAGCTGTTCACATAAAACACATATGCAACACAGGGAACGCGAATGTATCTAGTGTAATGCTTAAAGAAAGTTATTTGTATTTTTTTTCTCTTTTTTTTTTTTTTCGTTTTACCTTTATGACCTTCCCCTTACAGCTTCAAAAAGATCTAGGTGACCATTTATCTCTTTCCTTGCAAAGCTGCTAAACCGTATAATAATCCCCAGTATGGAATATGAGAGCAATACTTAATGTTTGAAAAACAAAAAATGCTTCTCTCTCTTTTTGTACAAATATTATACTAATGAGAAAGGGAAAAAAAAAATTCATTAAAGATAGAGCTTCAATTGTAAAAACTACAAAATGGCATAAAAAAAAATATATATATATCAGAAATACACATGAAGCTGTAAATCCGCATGTATATTATATCCACATTGAGCACATAACGTGTATTGTTATATTATAATATGCATATAAAACCGCGAATGGTATATATGACACGCCTGTACCCTGTACCCACGTATGCTTATTACGTAAACATATGGGTTTGGTTCAAAAGCACGAACAGCATATGTCATGAATGCATATAGCCATCACATATCCACGTATACACGTGAAAATGTACATGCTGCCGTAAAAACACGTACACGATTTTTTAAAAAAAATGAAACCACCGAATATAACATGTTGGGCTGTTTGTATATGGGAGCAGAATTTACATTTCGTAACACATTAAATTATTTTATATGAAATTACACTTGGGATTTTTCGCAAAGCTTTTTCATAAGGCCATTTGGAGGTTTGCATAGATGGTTTTGAAAAAAAGAAATTGTGGCAACTGAAAGGGCTGTACCAACTGAGAAGGCTGTGCCAACTGAGAAGGCTTTGCCAAGGGCGAACTGCACAAAACTGAGAGGAAATAATTTTTCCCTTTCGCAATACGTTGCAAAAGAAACTCACCCATCGTTAAGCTGCGCACGTGTACATAGGAATTTCTCGTAACATTTTGTATGGCAGCGGATCCTGCTTGTACAATGTACCTTAAACGTACACGTGTATGCGTCGTCACCTTAAGAGTACAATGAAATGTATACATCTACGCAAAATGCATACGCACAGTAATGGCGTTTTAAATATTGTTGGAGGAATTTGAACAATTTCGTTATCACCTGTGTGTCAGAAAACGCAAAAAAAAAAAAAAAATTCTGCTTAAAAGGCTTCCTCAATAAACAGTGCTTAATGGAGTAATGGCTAGTATGCTGCCTCTGCCATATTTCGCGATCGCAAATGTTGTGTCACACCATTTTATAATGTAGCTTAAATACATGCATATGAAATGAACGAACGTAGAAGTTTGCTTCGAAATTACGTTAGCTGCAAAGTTGGCATCAACGTTGACGTTAGCACATAGTATAAACATGAACATACGCGCGAACCTAAGTATAAAATGTATCTACTTATCTTGCGAAAGGTTTTTTTTTTTTTTTTTTAAATACATACACGTCAAGCAAAATGGGATGAAATAATTCGAGTGACATTATCTTCAAACCAAGCAGTATTATTTTCAATGAAGCACTTTTTTTCTTTTTTTTGTTTTTTCTTTTTGACTGTAATTACAAGAACACATGCGTATGAGTAGCCTGTGCTTACTCGTATGCATACTGGGTAAAATGCGCAAAGATACTTTTTCACCACTGGCTGTAACACGTGGAAGTAAAAAGGGAAAAAGCGTGGTGACAAAAAATCTGCAGAATATTTCCTTGAGAAGTTTGACAAATATTTCGAGGTGTTCCCGTTTGAGGCGAGTACTTATACTGTCTAAAATTAGCACATTCTTTTGGCTTTAGTTATTTTCCAAATGAGTCGAAAAATTTGTACAACTCCGGCAGATGTCAATTTTGCCTAACCACTTATGGTATCCATTAACACATTAGAAAATTCGCTGCTATAAGAGCAATCGGCGCATGTGCACATATAGATATGTATATGCACGCGTAAACGGTGTGCGCCAAGCGGTTATTTCTTAAGAGCACGTTAACATCGTCTGATGGCAACGTAGTAGGTGGAAACGCTTCGTTCTATTTCCCTTAAAGGAGAAGTCGGTAACACACACCGGGTGCGAAAAATCACTTCGCCTCAAAAGGCAGAACCAATATTAATCACGAAAACGAAGCTTTCGAAATGAACTCCATTTTTAGGTGCGTTCCCATAGTATGTGTGCTTTTCAAATTAGGACAATCAAAAGGGTCCCAATGATCCAATTTCAAACAGGAGATGCAAGGATCAACAGAGGTCAACGGAATGTATAAATTCACGTCACATTTAAATGTGTGTTTTTTTTTTTTTTTCTGTAACTTTTCTTTGTACGAAACCACCATCTTTTACGTTAACATTTCGCATATGCAAAAGGGGGTAGTTGACTCATTAAATTTTTCTTTAAACCGATTGGAAGAGTGAAAAACCACGTTGCGTGAAAAGGCCTTCCAACCTCTTAATGACACGAAATTAAAGAATTACAAACGAGCAGCTCTTAATATCGCTTCTCACCCATGTAAGCATCTCCAAATGTTGGAAGATAACGCAATTTACACAGAATGAAATTGTTATAAAATTTGTTCACGTTATTTACACCGCTTTGTTCTTCCATTTTGATTATGCGAAAAAATAATGTTGCAATTTGTTCACCCCGTTCAGGCGTGGTACGGTGAAGTGAGCATATTGCGAAGCCAACTTGAGTGTACAATTATTTTTCTCTTTTTCTACCAACACGGGGAGGCCGTGTCGGAGCAACCAACACTATGTGTATATTTACCTTTCTCCTTATTTTTTTCCCGTTCCAGAAGAAAAAAATAGACCCTCATTACAGCCACGGGACTGGCGGATGCGGTTGAATGAAGCATTAAAATGTGGCTAAAAGTTTGTGCCAGCAATTCGTTTACATACTTCTGTTGGTATAATGGTGTGCACATTTGGTCCACACCAGTATTTAAGCAATGGGAGATGTTGTCCCTCTATTTTTGCCTCACCTTTAAGAACGTGCTTGGTTCAAAAGTGCCATGTGCACAATGGATGGTCGTACGTTCTGGTAAGCTCCGCTCGGGCATCCCATAGTTACATTTTTTGCCAAGACAGTGTGCTTTCGTTGTGGGAACGCCTATTTTGGTGGAACCCTCCCTAATCTGCCCACTTTCTGGTTTATGCCAAATGGCGAAATGGCGTGAATTTGCGTTTCACAAATTAAAGGCCTGACTTGTTCCGTTTCATCCTCAATTTTAAGCACAACGTGGTGAATAAGCGAGCACAGCTATTTCTCCATCCCCTCGTTTTTCTGTCCTTACAGGTCTCACTTTTAAACAAAATGACATAGGGCGATGTGCCTTCGTTGGACAAAATTTATTCAATCTTCATTTTACATTTTCTGATCGCATACGTACTGGCCAACGCATGAGCCTGTGTACAAACGTGGGAATATTTGCACCGTCTATTGCTACGTCAAATGTGGAGAAATCTCCCCCCTCTTATGTATACACATTTTCAGTGCACACAAATGTTACGTCATATGAGACTCGTGTTCCAATTTTCGATCTATTTTTCCCCATACCGTTTAAGGCGTTGAATAAAGCACATCATGCAGCTAAATGGAGTAGGGTTAACATAAGGAACTGCAGTAAATTTCAGAATAAAAGGGGCAAAGGAGTTCCTCCAAGAAGGTAATTCAATATATTGCTCCAGAAAAGAGCTTCCAAAGATTGCTCCAATAAGAACATTCCAAAGATTGCTCCAATAAAAAGCTTCCCCCAATTGCTTCAGGAATTCCCCAAACGAGGCCAAACGAGTGCCGAAAGGATGCTAAAAACTAAATAAAGTATCCAAATAAAAAACGTTAAAAACGTACATGTCGGTATGCCTTAGTCGCGAATAATTTCATAGCAAAAATATTTTTAATCATTTCGAGAATATCATTTGTTTACACTGAAGCAGTTCACACATTTGTTTAAGTTTTTAAAGTCTTTTCCCCTTTTCAGTTTTTGTTTATTTTTTATTTATTTTTTTTTATTATTTCATTCCAGGTATATGCACATTATACGCTATTTTTATGAGCACAGGTGTAAAGAGAATTTGGGTAATTGCCCCCTTATCTTCTAATTAAAGTTCCTCTTGTTAAACTTCTTTCGAGTTTTTTTTGCTTAGCAGGGATGTACACTTGGCGCGAACTTGGGGAAATTTTTGTGTAAATTTGTGCAATTTTCTGTGCATTTCTGCCCATTTGTGTACCTTTCTGCCCATGTGTGTACATTTTTGCCCATTTGTGTACATTTCTGCGCATTTCTGTACGCCTTGCTTGACACCCGTACAGACTTCTCACATGCTCAGATTGACTCGCACTTGCGGTAAGCGAGCTACCCGCGCGGAGACGCCAATGTGAATTATGCCATACTTCGTAGGTACATTTTTTAAGTACCATTAAATCGTGGGTGTGTTTTTTTTAAAATCTTCTGAAGCGGCGCATCCTGAGTTTCTACCTCGAACTGGACACTCCCTTGTAGGTATACGTTTGAACCCTACTCTGTGTCTGCGATTGTGTAATCCCATACAAACACAGAAGGTTGTTCTCTCTCGGGTCCGAATTTGCCATGTTTAAAATTCCCCCCATTGTGTGTAATTAAAATTTTCGTAAATACAAGCACGTACATCTTGGTGCGAGCCGTGGCGGCGCGAGTAGCGACTACCCTCGTAGCGGTTGCAAGCGCAGAGAATACTCGCGCCCCGTTTCCCTCTCGGCCCCAATTCGCGTTCCCGATATACCCTTTTCCTCATTTATGGTAACTTCTGCTGTGCGGCTTCTCCCCTTCCTTAACGCGCAAAGGGCGAAAATGTGCATCTATTCACGAGCTTTGAAAAGCATGCCAACATTAACGCAACTGAGGGAGATCAACTATGCCAACATATAAATAAACGAAAATGATGGAACGAAAAAAAATCCACGAGAAGACAAATAACGGGAACAAGGGAAAGTACCCTGGGAAGTTATTCGCAAATCATGCAAACATGAAGAATCAAAATGTGAACGAAAATAAGCAGCAAAATGATTTTACGACAGCGGAAGCAGCATGGATGGAAAAGAAGCAGAAGCTGTACAAAGACACAAATAATCAGCCCTTGTGGAATTTTAGAAAAATCCAAATCAACCCAACGGACACAGATGAATTGATTAGTTTCCCAACAAATCAAATATCCTCCAACAGGTATGGAACATATTCCTTCCTCTTTAAGAGTCTATATGAGCAATTCTTACGATTACCAAACATGTGGTTTCTGGTCATCTGCCTGCTAGAATTTATTCCCGCTTTTCAGAACCTGTCAAACTATATGTATTATACTAAGCAGCCTTCCATTTATTTGCTAGCCTTATTTGTATGCGTGTCTATTGTGAAAAATGTGTACGAAGATTCTCGGAGGTCAAACATAGACTCTCAGATCAATAACAGGCTGTGCCACGTTGTTGACGGTTCCAATAGTCAGCTAAAAGCAGTGAGGTGGATGGACCTAACGGTCGGTAGTATCATTCGTCTGATAGAAAATGAGCAAGTGCCTGCAGATATTCTCCTGCTAAGTTGCAACAACAATGAAGGGTTGGTCTACATAGAGACGTCGCTAATAAATGGGGAAACAAACTTAAACAAAAAATGTTGTGTTAACGAAACGAGGGATGAGACGTCTATCTATGGGATCTGTAACATAAGAGGAAGAATCATTTGTGAAAAGCCAAACAGCAACATGGAATCATTTAACGGGTCCCTAAAGTTAGACGCTCATCCTCGTGCTACCTCCCTATCAATTAACAACGTTGTCTTTAAGGGGTCCTACATAAAAAACACCGACTACATTTTCGGAGTCATCATTTACACAGGAACAGATACCAAAATTATGAAAAATATAATAAAGAGTGTATACAAATCTGGAAATGTGAACAGAGAATTAAATATATACACCATCTTGATGATCATATTTACCTTTATCTGTGTGTTCATATCAGTCTTGTGCAAATGGACAGAAGATGATAAGTTCAAAAACGGAACTCACTTTCTGCTAATTACAGTCAAGGATAATTTATTCGAATCTATCGTAAAGTACACCCTGCTCTATTCCAACATCATTCCTATTAGCATCCTCATAACGGTCGACTTAATTTCTATTTTGCAGAGTGTACTTATCGAAAATGATAATCGAATCAGTACCTTCGAAAATGAATTATCCGAACCGTCCATCATCGATAAAAGTGATGAACATGCTGATTTGAGAATTACAAAATCGTGTAACTTCTTTAGAAAATACACCTTCTTTTTGAATAATTTTACCAGAAGGAACTTTACCAAAAATAGATTTTCTTCAACCAACACAGAACCAAATTCGGAAAAGATGAAAAGCTCCATCAGTAAGTTTGATAAACTCAGGGCTTTAAAAAGTTACTTTAATAACAGAAGCAGCTTTATCAGCTCCAAGTCGCACATGAATACTTCTTATAATAGGAGCTCCCTGGCCGAGAGTGACAATGTACAGGGGAAAAAGGGAAACAGACAGAATCACTTCCTTGATAAGGTGAAGAATGCCTTTCTAAGAAAAGATAAACTCGTCAATTTTGAGGAGAATATGGTATCCAAGCACGGTGTACCCTACCATGGACAAGTGAAGAGCGGCTGCTCCTCTGCCGCGGCCTCTAACATGAAGGGTTCTCTGCGCGGCAAAATGGACGTAGAGATTAGCGGCCAGGTCGACGGAGAGTCTAACTGTCATGTCAGCAGCCACGCCGACAATTTCCTCAGTGATAACAAGGCAACTCGACTGAACACCGATGGTGCGGCGAGGAGATGGAGAAACCGACTACACGCCCTCCTCCCATTTTTTCGAAGACAAAAGAAGGCAAACAGAACAATTAATGCGGTAAAAAAAGTGGATAAAATGAAGAGCCCCAGTAAGTGCTACTTCCCCAAGGACCGCTCTACCCCCAAAGAGGATGAATACGGCTGGGGAATCTGTCTCAATTCTAATATGCATGGAGATTTAGGAAACGTCGATTTTATATTTACCGACAAAACGGGGACTTTGACGACCAATGACATGTCTTTCAACATGTGTTCCATTGGTGGTAGAACGTATGGAGAAAGGCGACAAAAAGGGAAGAAGCTAAAAACGGGGAAAGGAATGCCTTCCAATTGTAGTCGAACGGGATCCTCCCACAATGGTGATAATGATATAAAGAATAATAGCAGTAGCAATCGCTTCTTTAAAAAGCGAAACTCGGAAGACACGTTGGTAAAAAAAATTTCCTTCGCCACCAACATCTGCAATGAGTCATCGGATGAATGTGAACAAGCTTCCGAGGGGCACCGCAAAAAGAGGAATCATCTCCGTCTTCACCATGAACAATGGCGGGGGAACAACACAAGTGAGAACCAATCGGAGAATTCTCACACTCACGATGCTGATAATCCGAAGAAAGAAGAAAACATGTTTCCGAACTATAAATCCAGTTCCTTTTGGGATTACCAATCGAAGGGTATAGATCGAAAAAATTCTGGCAATTCTTTAAATAAATGTCCATCCTTGCAAAATTCTGCGACGTTATCCTCTTCCATATCGCCAATGTCTTCCTCCCGTTTTTCCGCCCCTTCATCTTCCCCCTGTTCATCGTCTTGCACATCTTCTTGCACATCATCGTGCTCATCTTCGGATTTGTCATCTGCTTCGTCCTATGGTTCTTATCTCTCCTCCTGCGGCGGCGTCCACAACAACGTCAATTCGTCCTTCTTGTGTTCCTCGTCCAACAAGGATCATCACGAAATGGCTAACGATTATGATAGCATCAGGAGTTACTCCGAATTGGGGCCGGAAAAAAACAACCACACACATCTGGAAGATGAAACTAAGGATGCTGCTACAGGGAGAAGGAGAGGAAGAGAGAAGTACTCCCACGAATGCGCACACGAAAATGCTGATCTGTCCCACTTCTTTGACCGAAATTATCAAACCTATTTAATGCAACATAAATTTTCGAGACCCCAAAGTTTTCGAATGAATATAAACACAGGATCTGTTAAAGCGAGGTGTGATTTTAATGACAAAAGAATTTACGAAGATCTGAATTCGAAGACATGGAGAGGCTACTACATTGATGAGTTCTTCAAATGTATAACTCTATGCCATACAGTAGTCCCTTTCATCCAATTCGATTATATCCGAAATAAAAACTTAACTCATTTTCCGTCGCGGAGCTCCAAGGGAGTTTCCCAATATATAGAAAAGTACATCAATCATCCGAAGCAACAGTCAAACGATATTGTCAAGACGAGCAATGAACTCAATTTACAAACGTCCATGGAGTATGACGGCGTGCAGGAGGCAGAAGACGAAGAAGAAGAACATCGGGAAGTAAATAAATTTGGGGATAGACAAACAAAATGGATCAGCGAAATCGGAGGCACTGCCAAGAATGCAAAAAAGAAAAATGAAACCAACGTATACAATTACAACAGCTTGAATAATTTGAGACATAATCATGAAAAACAAAACAAGATAAAATTTAAATTCCTTTTTAATAAAAAATTTAGGAAGAAAAAAAAAAGTTACACTTCTTTCTCCAGCTTAGAGATTTACAAAGGCACAGAAAAAAAACACACAAGCAGATGGAACATTTATTTGAGTATGAAAAAGAAGAAGAATTTGTTTTCCAATGAGAAGAACAATAAAAAGAGTGAAAGCGCTTACATGTCCAAGAGGATTAGCGCAGTTTCGTTTAAGCAGATATCGAAGGAGAAGTCGTCTTCCCTGAACAGCTATGGGAGTCATCGCCATAGTGAAGGTGGACCTGCTGGAGTGGAAAGAAAATACAAAGCCAAGTCGCGAAACTTGGATGAAAAGATCTTCGAATTAGCGTCCCTCGTTAACGAGAAGGGTTCCCGCATCAACATGGCAAATAACATCCCAAATAACATGGCAAATAGCTGCCCAAATAACCGAGCGAATGTTCCGCCCTCAGTGTATGATGACGAAGGAACCCCCAAAAAGACGGAGGAGCGCAATGCTATACAGGACTCCGATTTTGACCTAGACAAATGTAGAGAGCCCCGAATGACGGATAACTATACCTCCGAGTCAAATGTCTACTTGGATGCCATCAAATATCAGTCCAGCTGCCTCGATGAGGAATGCCTGATTTACACCTCCAACTATCTTGGATACCGACTTATACTGAGAAACAAGAACACCATGTGCGTCGAAATAGATGGGAACCTGCACAAGTGGAACATCATCGGGATTAATGAATTCACGAACAAGAGGGGACGAATGTCTGTTGTCGTCAAGCCCGAGTTTATGCAGTCTGGCTCCATTCTCTATGTGAAGGGATCCGACACGTCCATCCTGTCCCTGCTCAATTTGAAGTATAGCAGATTTTTGGAAAGGGGAGAAAAACGAAGGAGACGGAAGAGAAAGGCACACAAGGAGAGGGGGCGCGACACAACCAGTCCGACGGGGCTGTCCAGCAGCAGGGAAAGGCATCCCAGGAAAACCGACAAATTGGACGCGACCCAGGGGAAGAGCTCCGCCAGTGGGATTAACACGGACGATGAATGCCACCAGTGTGAAGATCATTCCCACCATGCCGAATGTCCCCATCATGGAACAGATACGCATCTCGATGCGGACTCCAACGCGAGGAGCGAAAGTTCCCGGTTCGCGAAGCGGTACCGGCAGCTAGAAAAGCAGCTTCGCCGCTTCTCCGTCAGGGGGCTAAGAACCATGGTGTTTGCCTTTAAATATCTAAACGAAGAAGAAACGGTGAAGTATAAAAAGATGTACGACGATGCGTTCGTGTCGATATACAACAAAGAGGAGAAACTAGAGAAGGTGGCCGAAGCAGTGGAGACAGAGTTAACCTACTTAGGCATCACCGGGGTTAAAGATAGGTTACAAAAAAAGGTATCCAAAACCATTGAAATCTTGGGTCAGTCGGGGATCCGAATATGGATGCTAACAGGAGACAATGTAGAGTACTCATTACACATTTCCTTCTTGTGTAAATTTTTAAATTCACACACGAAGATATTTCACGCCATGTTGGAAAATACTAATTGTAGGAAATTAAAACGAGAAGGAAAAGCGTTGTATGAGTTGTTCCAATTAGAGAAGGAAGAAAAAAAGAGTCATGAAAAATTGTGTCTACTAATCAATGGAAAGAATTTACAAACCTTTCTAAACCATAGTGATTTACAAACCCATTTTCTAAACATGGCATGTAGTTCCGATGTCGTGATAGCCTCTAGAATAACTGCAAAGCAGAAAGCATTCATTGTACAGTTGATAAAGCATAGACTGACTCCAACCCCGAACACATTAGCCATTGGAGATGGAGCTAACGATATAGCGATGCTGCAGGAAGCAAATATAGGAGTGAGTATCATGACCCCTGAATGTATAATTTCTTCTGGCTATTCAGATTATTGTATACAGAATTTCTGTTGTCTTCGCAAGTTACTATTTATATATGGCTCGAAGCATTTATACACCATCAGCATTATTCTGTACTGGAATTTTTTTAAAAACATTGTCCTAATATTGCCCGTTTTTTTTTATCAAGCATATGCATCATGGAGTTGTGTAAAGATATACCCAGAATTGCTATACACCTTTTTCAACATCTTCTGGATTTTTATCCCTGTAATTTATTACGCGTTCTTGCAGCACAATTTGAATTATGACGTACTGTATAACATTCCTTTATTTTATGCCCTCAGTAGAAGGAAGTACAATATGAGTACGCTGAAATTTTTCCCTTGGATTGTCGAAGGCATTTTTTACTCTGTTATTGTGTTTTTTTTTGCGTACACAGCACTTCGGGAGAATTCTCACTTGAGTAATGGGGAGGTAGTTACCATTAGCACCTTTGGCAATATTTGTTTTCTTGGTTGCTTTTTAATTTCGATTGTTCGTCTTTTTCTGGAAGGATCTCTATGGTCGCCATCCATATTGATTACCTGTCTGGGTTTCTTCCTTTTTGTCTTTTTCCCCTCTATTTTGTTTATATTATTTGCCTACATTTCTAATGACTACATAAGGGAGGTCTTCAGGCAGACCTTCATGTGGGCTCCTCTCTACATTCTCTTAACCCTGTGGTTTACTACCTGCATCATCTGCTATATATTTATTAATTTTGTAAAAGCTGTCATGTTCCCAAATATTTACAGCGTTGTCAACCATTGGCTCTTCGAGCAGTACAAGGAGAAGCACAGTAAGTACAAGTACGTCCACTTCCTATCGGGGAAGAAAAAATTCATAAACTTGAAAAAAATCGGAAGAAAATTTAAGCACAGATTTAGCGAAACCGTCCACAAGACATACAAATTTAACCCGACCATGAAGCGCTCAAAGAAGGACCAGGACTACACAACGAACGAAAAGAAATGCCTAGCTAAAGAGCGCAACCTCGAGAGCTCCTACTCCAAAGGGTTCAACAAAGACGCGAATTCAAAATTTGTCCAAGGCGTCTTTGATGGAGATGTCTGCCTCGGCTGCAATGATGATACCCAGTTCGATGAGGAGAAAACTTATGGCATCCCCAGAGTCACCTTGCGCCAGCAGCCTGTCCACGGGATGGAAAATTTAAGTCACTCAGAGGATGGAAGTGACAAGTGGGATGCACAAGGAGACACCACAAAGAAGAAGAAGCCCGTTGGACGTAAAAAGACGAGATGGGGCAATCCAAACGGCGGAAATGAAAACGAGGGGAGGCAGGAAAAAAAAGCGGGGAGACCAACAGAGCAAAGTAATAAATCCCGTTTGGAGAACAAACACAGAAAGGAACATCGAAAAGGTGATGATCTGCCTAAAAATGACACGGAACAGAATAGGGACACCGCGCCATCCAACAAGGAAGTAGCGATGAAAGCGCGAAAGGGAAAAGTTGCAGCAGATGAGGAGGTGGAACTAACACCATTGAAGAAAAAAGCAGCTAATCGTGTGACTGCCGGGGGGGGAAAAAATGGGGCAGCAAATTGCGAGACAGCAAATCGCGAGACAGCGAATGGGGAGACAGCGAATGGCGAAATGCCCAATGCCGAAATACCCAATGCTGGGGATGACCGAGAAAACCGCATCGACTCAGCGTATTGGTCAGAGGCCGAGTCGTCCATCGCTAGAATTGATGAATCCCTGATGGTTGAAATGAGAAATTGCCTAAACCCGTTAAAGAACACCTTTCTAGTGGATTTGCTACCCCAAGGAAAGCGCTTCCGAATTAATGAGGAACACATATTTTTTAAAAACAACGAAAAGATGGAACACATTCCAGAACCCCTAGATGTGAACAAGAGGAACTATCACATTATACAAAATAAGGCGGAGTTTTACGACAACGAATCCACGTCGGACTTCTCTTACACAAGTACAGACAGTCTGAATGACAACAATGGGAAAAAGAAGAAGAAAAAAGAAGACGCACAAAAAGAAATTGTAAAAGTTAGCAACCTGATTAACAGATTTACGTTAGCATTTAAGGACATGCAACTGGAGTCAGGGTTTCAGATTCATAAGAAGAATAAATTTTACAAAATTTTCACCCCTTGGTACAGATTCATTTTTATCCTCCTAGGTCTCTTTTTTCTGTACATCTGGAAGTTAGAGTCGTCACTGAGGAAATACTGGAACATATCATCAAATGCTTCCACCGATTTGTTCATTCTTATTTTGTCCTTACTACTAGAATTAGTCCTCATAGCAGCAACCGTTACGACGTTTTTCCAAAATATATTCATCGAGAATTTCAACAAAATTATCAGTGCTGTCGTGATATTGATCATAACTCATCATGTAGTTACTTACTCCATTACGCACGTCGATGGAGTTTTCCAAGCGGTCCTTTTCCCTCTCTACACATTTGTCATTTTGAAATTGCCTTTTGTTAATGCGGTGTTGTGTAACATCATTTTTTTAAGTCTGTTCATCATCAGATTTAAAGGAGATCACTTCTTAGACAAAAAAGGATTAGCACATTACATTCCTTTATTTATCGGGGTCGATGTGTTTGTAGGTTTTGTCGGGTACCGCTTGGAATATAATCAGAGAAAAAATTTCCTCCTAGAGTATTCAGTGGAGTCGTCCAGACGAAAACAAAGAGAAATATTAAACACCATGCTTCCCCCTTTTGTTGTTGATGAGATGATTTACTCTGAACTGAATGAAGAAGGCATTCCCATTTCGTTAAAAGCAGAAGATATAGAAACCGTTACCATAATTTTTTGCGACATTTATGACTTTCAAAATATCGTTGCCAGTATTGAACCTACCAGGCTGGTCGAAGTCCTGGACAGACTATTCCTCTGCTTCGACAAATGCACAGAACAGTTTAACTGCACCAAAATTGAAACCGTCTTCGAAACGTACCTTGCTGCATGCGGGTTGGTAAAGAAGGAGGGAAGTGAGTCCAAAGAGAATACGGCTCAACAGGATGCCCACGATTCCATAGACTTTGCATTGTCAATTCTGCAGGTTAGCAGCCACATCAAGTACGAGAAGACGAAGAATATGTTCAAAGGGGGAGACTCGTTCGGCAGTGGGGCGGAGGCCATCGAGGAGGGGGCAGCGGAAAAGAACGCATTCGCAGCCGAAAACGCAACAACAACCGCAAGCGCAAACGGAAACGCTACCGCAACCTCAAGCGCAGCTAACTGTGGCACCGCCGCGGAGAGAGGCCCTACTCGAATCAGAGTCAAGATAGGAATAAACTCCGGCAGAATCATCGCAGGTGTGGTGGGGTCGAAGAAGCCGCAGTACGCCCTGTTCGGAGACACAGTCAACACGGCATCTAGGATGAAGACGACCGGGAAGCCAGACTACATACACATATCCGAAGCAACGTACGATTTGGTAAAGGATGACAAAACGTTGATATATGAGAAGAAGGAAACAGAAATTAAAGGAAAAGGAACGATGACGACGTACCTCCTAACATCTGTCATCGGGTTGAACTATCCATTTTTAGACGAACCCATAGACGGAAAGGCTAATTTCATATCGGATTTCCACCTAGACAGTAATGACCCAAGTAACAACATAAACCTCGACCAAACACACAACATCTTAGGTCTCTACTCAAACAGAGTTAATCAAAATAATGAGTATTACATAAATGACACCATATATAATGACGAGTACAGCTTTAACGAATCAGATAATGACACAAACAGGGATTATGTCAATTTGAAAGAGCTGTCTGTTCAGGACTTTTTTCCAAATGAGTACATTAGAGATGTCAATACCCATTTCTACGAAATTATTAAACTGAGGAATTTAAAAATAGGCACAGCTGTAGGGCATCAGCTGAAACAGAAGGATGTACTCAACATGACCTTTTTAAATAATGGACTGAACAATGACACCACGACAAATTTCAACGCCTACATTGAAAGTAATAACAATTTCGAGGAGATAAAAGAACTCGATGTAGGGATGAACAGACTGTCGCTCAGTGACTCCCTATATTGCTTAAATGAGAACTTGATAAAAAAGGATTCAGAAAATGACAACCTTCACCACAGGGGGAAACTTCCCACGCAGGAAATAATTGACCAGCATACTAAACAAAGCATACAAAATTTTGCCCATTCTAATAGAGACCTCTTGGACAAAAATGAAGATGATAACAAGGACATGCAGTTGTGCACACGAAAATGCAACGTGTGTGGTGAGAACTTCTGCACTCCAAATGATTGTATCAATTATGATCATGCGAATCATGTGTCGTATCATAAAATGTTGAGTAACATAAGGAGGAATTATCTCAAGAATATTAGGAAGGACGCGAAAAAAGATGCAGACAGGAAGGAAGAACTGGATGGACGGGGGTCCAAGAGGGGTGTTCTACTGCCCAGCTATGTCGCTTCGTTCTCATCGAAGCTGTTTTCCATTTTTGGATGGCGAAAACGGAACGAACGTCGCAACGCGGAGGGGGAAGTGCACCATCCGGACATTCCCTCCCAGATGGGATGCACACAGGGACAATCTCAACCGGATGATCCGAAAAGCAGCGCAAAAAAGCAAACCTCCCCTCTGAGGGAAAAACCGGAGAAGAGTCCTCGCCCGATCGAAAAGGAGGACAAATCCAAACGAGTAATACTGCTCAACAGCGAGTGGATCTTCCTCAAATTTAGTGACAAAAATTTGGAGGCAAAATACAGGGCCCACTTCTACAGCAATAAATCGAACATCAACTCGATCGAACAGGCTCTAATCATATTCCTAGTTACCTTCGTCATGCAAACCTTAATTTCGAGCACCGTGCCCATCGTCTTCGTGGACCACAAGTTTGCAACGCAGACGTTAGAAGTGAACTACTTTGCCTACTGGTCCGTTCGTTCTCTCTACACGTACCTTGGCTTTATCCTTTGGCTACTTTTTCACTACAGAACGAAGCCTGAAGTGTCTTCCCTGCTAAACATAAAGTGGATGATATTTTTCCTCAATTTATTATTCATATCTGCCGCTTGCGTTTTTTCCATTTCGTACTTATGGGCCATTTCCGAGATAGACCAGACAACTTCATACACCATATGGATGACAAATGATACGATAGAGTTTTTTTTTTACCTAGTTATATTGCACCATAACACGGGCATGCTATTCCAGACATGCATCCTGGTCGACCTATTATTCATTACCATGTCTTTAACCTTCATATCAACAAGCGTGGTGAAGACAATCACTACGGACTCCACGGTAATGTTGATTCCCTGGTATGTAACCTTCAATTTGATATCTACCTACTGCAAAGAATCCATAGATCGGAGGACCTTCTACGCACATGAAAGTGCCAAGAAGACAGAAAACAGAGCAACAGAGCTTCTTAACGATATGCTTCCAAAACACGTGTTGGAAGAGTTCCAACAGGATAGACTTAAACTTGCATACACACATGACCGATTAACTTTTCTCTTTGCGGACATTTGTGGATTTACTTCTTGGGCCAATGGAGTTGACGCATCTGAAGTGTTGACATTACTACAGAAATTATTTGCCAAGTTTGACAACGACAGCACTAAATATGGCCTATACAAATTATGCACCATCGGGGATGCATACGTCGCTATAAGTGAGCCAGTCACAGAAGATAACCAAGATTATGATCCTGTTGATGGGACGGAGAGGGTACTGGAAATGGCATATTCGATGATCCGCATTATAAAAGAAATAAGAGAAAAATTATGTATCCCTAATTTGAATATGCGCATTGGATTACATTATGGGTCATGTGTCGGAGGAGTTATCGGATCTGGACGACTACGATATGACCTATGGGGAATTGATGTCCTTACTGGGAATCTCATGGAGAGTAACGGAGTCCCTGGGAAGGTTAACGTCTCCGAAACGCTTAAGAATTTTCTCCTACAACAGTTTAAAAATAGGTTCATATTTAAACCGCATGCTACCGTTCGGGTCATCTATAAGGACGTAAAATCTTTTATCATAACGGATAAGAAAGAAATCGATGCGATGAATAACTCCAAGAATTTACACAACCGGGGATATTTACTCAACCGGAAAATGCGCAGAAAGAATCAGTCGGATGTTGACTTTCTATTTGATGGCAAGAGGCTTGGCACCTTCACTCACACCATGTGCAACTCGAATTTCTTTGATTATAGCCAGGCGCCCAACAGGGATTTGTATTACATCAATGTGAACGATGAGGAGTCCAATTTGTAGGCGCCTCCTTCGGCGAAGCTTTGTTAGCAGAGCTGGGGGCGTTCCAAAAGTGGTGCAAACATGCACACACGCACACATACATAAACACAAATACATATGCACCTGTTTGTGTCCCCTTTTTTTGTGTTGTACCTATCTGCGCATTTCCATAATGGACACGTCTTTGCAAACATTTCGTAACTGATTAATCTCACATAATTGACTCAAACTGTCCCTTTCTCTGCCGTTACCAAATCGATGCACTTTTTCGAATCATCATATGATATATGCATATATGCCTTCCAGCGAACGTTTTCCTTCTTCCTTTTCCTTTGATCTGCCTTCTGTGCGAAGCCCACATTTGTATGTTTTTCCCTCATGGACTTAGCCATTTTTTGTTCCACTTCATTTTTCCCCTTTTGTGCGCATCGTTTTTGTTTTTTTTTTTTGTGCAATAGAGTTTATGCTTCCTCCGATAATCACAGGCTCATCGTTCTCTTTTACGTCAGTCAACGACGTGAATACACGCCCTGTTGCGCTTCATCCATCTATTCATCCATTTTTTTTTTTTTAAGCCAACTTGCACACGCGCCTTTTTCCTCGCGCTTCTTTTGAATCCTTGTTACTCTGCTTTTTTAGGAGTTGTTTGTTTGAATCTTTGCAGGCACGCATTATCTACACTCATGCGCCGACGAGCGCTTACCCGTTCTGTGTCAGCTTCGCTTCCGCTGTGGCATCTTCTCCCACTGGAAGAGCGTATGAATATTACCTCCCCTTTTAACTCCTTCTCATAAGGTTTATTTTTCGAAAAGACGAAAGTGCGCTGTCCCCTTCTAACGAAATGAGCAAAAAAATTGAAAACCCAAAGGTTCTAAAATTGGCCGAGCGCCTTGTGGCACTAAAACAGGATGAAATTGGTACGCCTTCTCCCCAAAATAGAAATACTATGCATTCATAGAGTGTAATGGGGAAAGGACAAATTTAAGTGATGGGATGCTAGCCATGCATAGAGCACCCCACATGCTGCAGGGCAGACAAAAATGGCTAGCCAACACGCGACTGTTTTTGACCCGTCTTTTCCTGCACTCGTTCATTACGCCATTATACCAATGCACCAATGCGCTGTTCTTTTTTCTCCTTTGCCGCCCTAACCCGAGTAGACCACTTCACACACCTATTTAAAGAACGAATAGCAGCCAAACCCAAATTCTCGCAGAAGCCAGCGGACGAAATTGAACCTGTGCATCCCCACACCAAGAGACTTCCCAACCCTGGGAATTTCAATCATCAGAGAAAGCACATCATTTTTAACTTCTATTTTAACTTATTTCAAACAATAAGGAACACATTCCTTTTCGTAAGGAGATAGGCCTCTCAGGAGACCTCCTCGAAGCGATTTTTTTTTTGTCGACAAGCTTTGTTCCAAATTGAATGTGTCTGTATGCATATATCCTGTTGTATTCGAGTAAATGTACACTTCCTTGAGCCTTTTTTTTTTGCCCCCCCACTTCAGCAGCGTAAAAAATAAACGCGATGAGTGCACGCCACCTGATCAGCAAAGTATTCAATTCCCACATTCTCAAGTCGCTCATTAGCAGCCTTTCGGGGACCCTTGCTTCGGTCTTTTTCAAAAAGGCATCAGATGTGTCTATTTTTCATACCAATTCGGACAGAGCAAGTATATCATGGAGCGTGGAAATTGGGATGAGAATAATTTACCTATTGCTGTTTTTCATTTCCAACATGTTGATGCTTAGATATTACCTCTTGTTGATGAAGCACTACTCGGCTTTCCTTGCGACCATTCTCAATTTTGTTTTTAATTTTTTTTTAAGTGCTATAATGGGTGTACTTTTCTTCAATGAGAAGAGAGACTCCTATTGGCTGCTAGGAGGACTTCTCATCATCATCGGTTTAGTACTTATTATAGCTGATGCAGCAAATGAAGAAAAGAAAAAAACATAAACGGCCAATGCCTTCCAGTTTTGCTTCCAATTAAACCTTAGTAAAAATCCCTTCCAACTGGATAATTCACCAGTTAATTTTTTTTTTCTGTGCCCTTTTCTTAAAAAAAGGTTGTAACTATTTCCCCTTTCCCAATTTCTACACGTTTAACACGCAACCTTGGAAAAAAAAAAAATAAATACAATAAAATAAAAATAATAAAATAAAATGATATGATAAAATCGGGGATGACATACACAGCCATACTTCAATCCTGAGCTAAACTTAAAATGACACAAAAGGCCACCAAGAAAAAAAAAAAAAACAAAATCACTGTTTAAGAGGTGCAAAATTAAACGAGGCAACAGAATGAATTTGCATAAAACAACATACCACCCTAAAAATGTAGAGAATTTTTAAAAAAAATTCAAGTAACATTTCGATTGTCTTCCAATTGTCTATCTATATTCGCCATGAGTACGAAATAGAAAACGATGCTCACTATGGCAACAACTAAGTGGAGGAAAACTAACGTAGCATTTGCAAAGAAAAAAACTATAGCTTTGTAACAATTACAGTCAGGCATCCCAGAAAAGTTAGTAAAAACCACATCGATAATTGTGCACAGCACATATATCCCGTAGAAGCTGGAACTCAAGTCAATAATTGCCATGACGGCTGAAACGATTGCGACCACGGACCACTCGTTTTCCGTTCCCCATTCTCTACAGCTAATCACGGAGTAGTATGGAGCCATCAGGTTGGAGGCCCCTTGAAAAAGTGAAAAGGGTCAAAAAAAAAAAAAAAAAAAAAGGGGGGGGGAGGAAAAAATGACTCAAAAATGAAAGAAATGATCAAAGCGAAGAGGTCAAAACACCATTTAGGCCAAACGTTTGAAACACTCTTGCAAGTTGGAGTCCTTACCTATAGATAAGGAAAAGCTGAACAACGAGTCAATCAAAGGGGAGCAATGCAAATCTGATACCTTTGGGTATAAAAAGACTCCATAAGACAAAAGAGACAAACATATGTATAGTATCATTAAAATGATTAGCCATTTTCGAATGGGGTTGTAAATGAGAGGGGCCGTCCCTCCGCTTCTCAAGGGGCGCCCGCATATATAGTTCAGGATTTTCATTTCGAACAAAAAAAAAAAAAAAAGAAAAAAAGAAAAAAATATATCTTGATTGGCTTTCTCTTTTTCCCCTTCCGTTTTCAAAAGGGCAAAAAAATATAAGGAAAAATGTGTGCACATGCTTTGACTTCTCATATGTAGGAGAAGTACAGGTCGATGTGCGTTCCCCTCTTTTGAGAAAGGCGAGCAGTTTTACGGCCACAGGTGTGCACCTAAAAAGTAAAATTTACAAAAATGTTTTCCTAACAAAAAAAAGGGCACCACCGGTGTAGGACTAAAAATAAACAGAAACAGACAAAAAAAAGGAAAGAAATATAAACACATGGACACACATACAATCTATACACACGTAAGAGGGACAAAGTGGCAAACTAACGGAGGGCAGTTATAACGGAAGAAACTCGGGGGCATAATAGACGGAATGAGCCCGCTTGGGTATATTTCAAATGCCTACACATGCCATTTCACTCCGCAATATTATGGGGCGTCGTGATTCATCTTTTTCCTTTTTTTTCTTTTTTTTCTGATTATTTCAAAGGAGGTGCCTCCATAAGCAGCCGCGGAATTTCTTTTCTGTTACAAAAGGAGGAAGGCGCATTTATTCGTTTCTACAAAAAGGTTAAGGAAGGAAAAAAAAAAAAAAGAAAGTTCACACTGCCACCCCTTTTCGTGCTTCTGGAGCGGGGTGAAAAATGTTACAATTCACAGTCGTGCATTTTACCACGTCAAAGCAGAAGGGGGCAGTAAAAAGCTTCCTCCCCCTTCTAGCGGCGCAATGGGACAAGGAAGGCCTTCCTTCCTGCCACAGCCCCATGCATATACTCATGCACATCCACATCCACACGTGTACACAGACAGACGATGCGCCCCCAGTCCAGGGTCACCCTCCGTGCAAAGTTGACAGGAAGCAGAGCTTATCGCCATCCTTAATCTGGTACTCATACATGTGCATAATTTCCCAGTCATATTCATTAATTAGGACTATAATTCCCGGTTTTATCTTCGCCTTTTCATTTAAATTGTAGTTTTTACGCTCTACATTGTTAACCAGCACTTGGCAAAACTCCGTGCCATCACACATGACATGGTCGGCAAAAACGTCCTTCCTGTCAACGAGGATGTGGTTTCTTATGTAAGCAATTAAATTTTCAAAAGTGAATTTCTCAGATTCTATTTCTAGGGTCACAACATTTTGGGACTTATCCTCCAAATAGCTTTCCAGGCCTCCCAAAAATTTTAATTCTAGTTTCTTCCTCATGGTGTAGGACGTGTTTTCTGTTAACCCCAATGGATTGGCACCTTTATGGAAAGGAAAAAAAGGTGGGGAAAGTTTATTCTTGGCAATCAACGGGGTGTTTTCCAAAGGTGTTGGCCAGTGCACAAGGAGGTTGCAACTTTTCAGTGCAACAATTTGGCTGTACATTCACGCAATTGATTTTCAACCCTTTTCTGCTCCTTTTCAGTTGATGAATTCAAAGCGTAAAAAAGAAAAAAATAGAAGAAGCACTTTTTCTTTGTTCTTTTCGAACATTTTGGTTGCTTCTGGCCCCGCTGGGAACTGCAACACGGTGGGTGGCTTTATTCTGGTATATTCGACCATCTAGCGATTTAAGAAAATTTTACCGTTTTTTTTTTTTTTTAACTACGGGGCTACATATTACTTTTTGCAAAACTCGCATGAGCTGCTACGCGTCGCGCAATTCTTGCAGCTTATGTGGATCTCCATTTTTTGAGGACATCATGCTAGCTCTCATAAGGCATACACGGATTGTTGACCGTTTTAGACGAGAAAAAAAAGGGAAACCATTATACTTTGAGATATCATGTTGTATGAAGACTGGTGAGTTTATAATTTCCGCGAAGCCCTTCCACAGCGTTAGTCGCATTGTGGCGCTACCCCATGGGGTTACTTTTTCATGCAACACGTGGATGCCCGTTTGTACCTCCATTGTGACGGTTCATTGTTGACGGTCCATTGTTGACGCTCCATGTTTCACTTCACGTCCGGTGCGCATCCCGTTTCGCTCACACAAGTGGAACAAAGAGAAACGGTAGTCATGCCATGTCTAAATGTTTTACATTTTTACAATTTTGCCACGGCTGAAGAGGAAACCTCCCTTTTTTTAAGTAACATAACGATGAGTTTTCGCGTGGTTGCCAAGTGTGCCGCAGAATACCTGCAGACCAGTAGTGACCCAACAGACTGCTAAAAAACGAAAAAAAAATCTTACAAAAGAGGAAAGCAGGCGGAAAATGCGTTCAAAAATACACGCACTGTTCCGCATATGGGCACGCTTGCTGTAGGTGGGTAAAAGGAATCACAAAAAAACAACGGGACCAAAGTTGTGAGTGCCATGCGCAACACAATGGTGAAGAAATCGCATAAGTTGACCCACTTGGGGAAGGGTAACATATACCTGTACAATGTTCTAACCCAAAATGCCTTGTTTTTTTAAAGCTTCTCGGAAGCTACTTAAGCTCTTGCGAGTTTCGGACTGAAATTGATGAGTCTCTTCCCTACCGTTCTTGTACATTAAGCCGTTTTCTGCAAAACTAGCACTGGGAATTAAGGCATTACCTAACACATTGCTTCCCTTATTTGGGTAATTATTTAAGTGCATTCCTTTTAGCATATTATCCAGCCCAAATGCGTTAAGCGGAACGTCTCCAATGTCGGCGAAGGTTATATCACCCATGTTACTACCTAAATGGGCATTTAATTTTGCATGTTCATCACTATTCTTTTCTTCCAACGAAATGATGTTCTTCTTTTTCGCTGTATCACGAGAGTAATGCTTTCCTAGCAGTACGTCCTCATTATTTACCCCCTCTAAAAAATAGTCATTCCTTTGCGCATCATTCGATTTGTTTATGCCTCTCATATGCCCGTTGTCTTCCATGTTATATTTCCCAAGAGAGTTTTCCCTTTCTCGTTCCTTGGTGCGAAATGATGGAAGCGTGTCCTGCGATGTATAGCTCAAATCAGACGTCCTGGTGGTACCGCCCAAATTGGTATTTGCAGAACTGCCCTTAATAATTCCCCCTCCTGGGTGGCACTTCAGTTTATCATTTTCTTTGCCCAATATGCCGACCTTATATTCATCGCCCATGTTGAGATTCTTCCTCTGGTTCGTCTCCCCATTAGATTTGCACTTCGTAGCAACAAGTTCGTTCACACTACCACTGCCCTTGCCTCCCTTGGGCGATTTCTCAACTATGCTGCTAACGTTGGACGGGATGAGCGACTTCATGTCTTCAAGAACTTTATCAGCATATGTTGACATATCTCTTAGTCCGTTTTTTTTATTTCCAGAGTAGTTCAATATCTGTGTCTTCATTTTCGGCTTCTCTGAAAGGGTGTCATTAGTTAATCTGTTTCTCACTCCTACCTTCTTAACGTCCACCGATTTGGACCTCCTAGCATTTTTGAGGCCCCCCTTTTGGTTTTCTGGCAAGTGTTCTTTTATCTTTCCGCTCTCATTCGTATTCTTAGTGTCGTTCGCTTCATTCCTATCCTTAGTGTCATTCGTGTCATTCCCTTCGCAGGGTTCATCACCTCTTTGCGCCTGACTATTCGACACGGCTTTGTTGCAGTTGTTGGGGGGCAGATGCTTGCTATTAGGGTCTCCATCCTGTAAGCCATTGGGGTTTGCACCAACTGTACTCTTTCCCTCATTACAAAAGTTAGGGATGCCTACATTGCTGTCTAACGTGCATTCGTGGTTTCCCGCCGTCACACCGCTTCTATCAAGCTGGTTGTAATTTAAAAAGGCGTGATCGTAAAATGGGGGGTTCGCTTCTGGCCTCAGGGAGTTAATGTCAAACAAGTAGGAGCTGTTTAGCTTCTCAACTTGGAACATGGTGTTGTCTCCGTTCGTGTAGTTGTGGGCGGGGGAATACATGCTGCCTACCAGGGCACTTTCCATTCCTTGATAATCACCACTTATCGTATTTACATCCCACCGTGTGTTCACATTTTCGACCCTGTTATTGACTCCATATTGTGCATGTGCAGCTATCTGACTTTCTAGCCCGTTAGGAATCATCCCCATCCTCATGTTTAAATCTCCATTAATTGGGACGTGATTCATGTTGATCTTTTTCTCCGCATTGGCATGGTTGCAGTCCAGCGGTTTGCAGGCGAAAGCTCCATGGTTCCCACTGATCGACTGCTTCACCTCCATATAGCTATTATGACCCAAGTGGAAAGTTTTATTTCTATCTGCGTGGTGATATAAATTCATATTGTCCAAATAGCTGCTGGGGAGCTTATTCAAGTGGAGTGCTTCCCCTTCCATGTTGGCAAGGGCTAACTCGGATGGAAGTGTTTGTTCGATGCCAATGAAGTTTGGATCGAAGCACGTGGCATTGTTAAGGCTGATGTCATTTAACATGAAATTGGTGGAGAGTACATCGTCATATAGGTAGGCTTCTTTGCCTACCAGGGGGGAGTTTTTTTCATGGGCAAACAGCTCACTCGCGCTCTGCTTATGGTTTGTCTGTCTCGAGGCATTTGTGCTATCTGGAGCATTTGTACGACGCGCTTCACACATTTCTCTGGTGCTTTTCATGTCAACTCTTCCCAAATTGATATCCATGGAGCTTCCTGCGGAATTGGTGCTTGCGTGCATGTGTGTGCCCTGTCCACTCGTAGAAGAAGCCGCATTCCCATTCTGCCATTTTCCACTCTTCTGACAACCGTCTTCCGTCTCGAAGGTGCCATTCAACGTTTCGGAAGATAAGGACATGGAATCGCTGCTCAAAATGATGGTGGTGTCCTGCCGTTTATTATTCAAGCTGTCCTTTGACCCATTTGCTTTTTTTTTTATTTTTGTAATCTCAAAGTTTAGTATGTCCTTGGAAATATTGTTGTTTTTTAGTTCCTCCTTTATTTTGTTCTTGACTAGCTTAGAGATGTTATTAACGAGCAGGTGTAGCTTTTCTTTACTCTTCGCCTTTTTGGCGAACTGTCCCTTTGTGCATTTCTCATCGGGGGGGAATGTCCTAACATTTGTGTTTTTCCTCATGCGGTTATTTCCACCATACTTCTTTTCTTCCCGTTGAGTGTGCTTTGCTGCCTTTTCCTTCTTCTTCGCGCCTTTGGGACCAGCAGGGCCATTTCTTGGGGCCTTATTTTGACCACTTTTGGGGCCCCCTTCTGAATTTACGTCTGTCTCCTCATCCGTTAGGAGCGTATTCTCCAACTTCCTATACGGAAACACTTCATTATTTTTAAGGTCGATTATCCATGCCTCTGACTTTTTCTTTTTAGCATTTGCATCCTTTCCGTTTGGTTCGGATGTTGGCACATCGTTCCCATTGGGGTCATTCATTCTGTCTTCTCTTGGAATATCCCACCTGCTTCCATCCGAGGTGGTGCCACCTGACACGTTTTTATGTTCATACGGGTTATACCTCAAAGCATTCAAATGGTTGTTCGTCGATTCATTCTCATATAGTAACGTGTTATCTCTACCTAGGGTGAGCAACTTATTCTCATCTGCCTTAGTGTAAATGTCATCCACGAGCTGTCTACCACATTTGGAATGGCTCAATTCCTTTATGCCGCTTTGCTGCGTTGTGGAGATCCTGCTTGCTGTGCCATGCTGACTTTGTGGGTGATCGCGCCCAATGGAGTTCCCTATCTGAACATCTTCCTCCTCACCGTTTATTTTGTACCTGAAGACGCTTCTCAAATTTTTTTCGTTCTTCAGCACCAAGTGGTCTGAGGCTTCTGTGAAGCCCCCGCGCTGGCAGATGTTCTTTTCGTTTCCGGATCTTAAATGGTTATTCAGAGCATAGGACTCCTCCGTGCTGCTCACTACATGTGTATCGCTGAAACTGATTGTATCATCCCGCACGTTCTTTTGAGCCAACTGTGGCATTCCATACGGATAGTACATCTGGTCCGTTGTGGAGTAATCCACCTGTGTGACGTCATTGAAGTCGTCCTTTCCTTTGAGGGCCAATTTAGTGTGACCTTCTAAACGATCCCCTTGGGTGTTTCCCTTGTTCTGAGCATTTTCCTGATGCACTAAATTTCCATCGTGGAGGTAGTCCACTTTTTCTTTCCTTTGAACTATATATTTATGAATATCTTCGTTCATTTGCTTTATCCTATTTGCTACGTACATTTTTTCTATACTTTTTAAGGCTCCCTCCGTTGGGCCGTTGTCCTCGGCCTTCTTTACCTTTTCAGCGTAATGCTGTCTCCCACTTTCCGTGGAGTAGAACCTATTTCCCCCCTTCCCATTCATACTCTCCTCATTATCGGAGAACATACGATGGATATCTCTTGTAATGTTATCAATTTCGAAGATGTCATTTATTCTGACGTCCTTGTTTTCGTTGTGAACCAAATTGAAGCTGGCATTTGATTGTTCACCAAAGGGGAAGAAAATCTTCCTATAGGATTCTGCACCGTTAAGTTTGGAAATTTTGTAGAACTTACCCTCATTTTCGTCTTCTTTCTCTTCATATTTGTTAGACAAGCTTACTCTGATGTGGCTGTCCATCCGTCCTGGGGAAGAACCGTTCGTGTCTGCGCTGTTAACAAGTTGGATTTCTCCCTTTTTTTCCTCTTCCCGCGGTGCTACCTCAGTTGGGTAAATTTCCCCTTCGAGTGACTTTAGACCATTTTGTTGTATTGATCCATCTGCATTAAGAGCATCCTGTCCGCTTGCTCCTTTGAGCCAGCTTTCCCCACTACGTAGAGGTGACTTGCTTGCCTCCTTGAGTGCACCCAAAACCAATGGGGACTTCCGTCGCTGGATTTTTAAAACCTCCTCATCGTATTTCACCTTAAGGCTCTCCAAATAGGTGAGACATTTTTCATATTTTTTCTGCCAGGCCTTATTTTCTCTCAGTATCGTCCTGACCTTCTTATTCAATTGAGTAGTTTGACTGTTGGACGTTTTGAGCAATCCATTAAGCATGTTAATTTTGGTTTTACTTTCTTCTAGCTTCCCTTTTAGCAGGTTAATTTTGTCGACATATATTTTCTCCGCCTCCGTTTGTACTGTTCGGATGTCTCCACTGCTGCGCACCATGGCCGATTTCTTCAGCTGGACGTTCTTTTCCTTCAAGTCGAAGATCTCTTCCTTTAGGTCAAAAATCTGCTGCTTCAACGTATCAACATGTGCTTCTAAATCCTTTATTTTGTTTTCTCTATCTGTTATTGCTTGTCCATTTTGTGCTTCCTCGCCACCTGAGCGAGTTCCCTTTTGCGCCGCGTCGAGAGGATCTATTGTCGCCTCATCGCAACGTGATAGGGCCATCACATCTGCACACAAATTGGTGTTTTCCCTGCGCAAGTCAAAATTCCGATCGTTCAACATTCCGATATTTTTTTCTAGCTTATTTATGTTCTTTTCATACTCGTTCAGGTTGGAATTTTTCCTACTTAACAATTTCTTCAGCTTCTCATTTTCCATTTTTAGAGATTCAATCATTTTAATATCATCTTTTAAAGTGTGTAGTTGGTCTTGCAGTTGGTTTATTTGTTCCTTTATTATTTTTTTATCTTTTATTTGTCCCTTGGAATTTTCTAACTGTCTGTTCAGATCGAGGAAGTGCTCCTTATTCTTCGTCATATCTCCCCTTGTTGTACACACTGTTTGCTGTTCGAATTCTTCGATAGGGTTATCCCCTCTATTGTTCTTCCCAGGTGCATCATCTAAATCTATTTGTGACTCGAGGGCAATAATCTGAATACTTTTCTTCTTCAAATCTCCCTTCATGTTTTGGTTCCGTCTGGACAGGTCATCCAACTGGTCGTGTAACTTCTCTATGTGTTTTTCTGTGGCCAGGAAAAGGCTATCTTGGCTTTCCTTAATTTTTTCCATCTTAAGGTAATCGCTTTTTAGCCTTTCCTTTTCTGCATACAGTTTTTCAATTCTCCTTCTTAACCTTTCGTTGTGTGATTTTAACAAATTCATTTCTTTCTCGAAAGACTTCATCGATTCGAATGTTTCCATCGTGAGGATGCCTTTGCTTCTTTTTTTTTTCTTCCCCTTAGCACTGCTATTGTTCCCTCGCTCAGTATAACCATTGCTGCTTTTATTCATCCCCTTGGAGCTCCCCAGAGGGTTGTGTTCCTTCCTATCCTGCAGCATCAGGATGGCCGCCGCCTCGTCATTATTTTCACTCATGTTATCATAGCAGGTTTTAATTTTTTCTAAAATTTTCTCCTTCAATTCATTGATTTTTTTCAGATCGTTGTATTCGTCCCGATTTATATTATCATCCACAAGATTGTGTGCATCATGAGGAGGGTCCTTCTTCTCCCATTTGGCTTGTTTTCCTTCGAATTGTGCAACTTCTTCACCATTATAGGCCCCACTCTTGGGGGTACTTTTGCCATCCCTGCTTAAGCTTCTAAAAAAAATCGAATCCACACTTGTCTTTTTGTTTATCATCTCATTTTTAACATACAATTTGGTGTTAACGTCCTTTATATCGGTTTGCATAAAATTGTCCTCCATGTTTCCTCCCTTACTGTTCGTCTGCACTTGTTCATTTTTTAAACTGGCCCTAACCGTTTGCGTGTTTTGATTGGTCACCAGGAGGGTGCTTCCTTGCGCCTCACTCACTGTTCCTTTATTCGCCGTCCCCTCCCTTTCCTTCCCCATTAAGCACATCTCCAGTTGCTTCCTCACACTGTCGTCATTCTCTTTCTCGACGAAGTATTGGAAGGCCTTATTTAATGAATGCCCATCAATGCATTTTAAGTAGTTTAAAAAGATATCGATTTTTTCTTTTCTCTCTAGTTCCAAAAATGGTCCATTCTGTGATCCTTTCGATTCTTCCAGATTTGTACGAATATTTTTATTTCCACTTTGAATGTCCTCTGCCATAATCTGCATGTAATTCTTGCTGTTCGTACTTCTGCCAAAGTGGGCGTTTATTTTATCATATATTTCGTCCATCGGGGGAGAGGTCCCATCCACTGAGTAGTTCTTCTTGTCCAAACTGTCCTCTGGTGATGTGTGCAAAAGGTTTCTTTCTTCCGTCTTGTCATAAAAAAAATATTCACATGGTGAACCCCTCCCTGCAATGCCAACACCTGTAGGTACATCATTCCCTTTTGTGCTACTTTGATTACAGTAGGGGTCCTTTTTTTGATTAAAAATTTCAAATACACCTGCTTCCATTTGGCCATTATGCATGACTGTTTTGATACCATCACTCGGGGGATAGACCGAAGAGCTCCCTTGGGTGAAGACGTCTCCATTTTGTGGCACCTCTCCGGTTGGTTCCCCCGTTTCATCTGAATCTCCTGCATTGTGCACTCGCCCCATTTGTTCACTTAAAAATGAGGAACTACTAACCTTCTCGATGTTCTTATGGTGCATCTCCTCTACTTTGAAGTCCTCTTTACTGATGTGACCACTAGTGCTAGTCTTCCCATCGATAGAGGCCTCCTCAGTTGATTCTTCCATCCCCTCTTGGCGCTGATTCTTGGACTCATCTCTAAGATCTGCATTATTTCCTTCCTTTCTCTTTTGATATATTTCCACATAGTAGGAGATATCCTTTGGTATTTCATAACGATTTAATATCCTTCCCCTATTCTCACTTCCCTCTTGTGACTTTGCTATGTCGTTTGGACTGCTCATTTTTTCGTTAACCTTCCACCACTCAAAGTTCATTTGTTTCGCAATGTGCTCATTCAGGCGATCTTCGTCTGCTCCCCCCTTCAACGGTTTCGTCTTTCTTTCTGCGCCGCTTATGTCGTGGTCCATATCGCCGCTTCGTTTCGGCGTAGACCCCGTTTTCTTCTCTTGTGGGTCGTTTCCTTCATCAGTAAGCTTCTTCCAGGTGTTCTTTTCCCCTCTCGCATTAGCATGTTCTCTTTTTTGTTTCCATGTTGGAGGATCGGCGGTGTGAACTTGGTTCGCCAGGTTATCATGCGTGTTGTCGTCCGTGCCATAGTCCGTGCCGTTGTCCATATCGTCACTCACCTCTTCCTTTTCGTCGCTCGCCTGGTCCATTTCGTTATCCACCTGGTCCATTTCGTTATCCACCTCGTCCGTGTTTTGCACTTCTTCCGATTCTTCTTCTTCCTCCTCCTCCGCGTCCTCTTCTTCCCCCGCAGGGCTTCGCCACTGTGCATCATCCTCTTTGCCCATTTCGTCGCTCTTAAAGTGGACATTCCTTTTGCCTACAAAATCTTGTTCGTACGTATCTGACGTGCTGTTCCCGGACGATAATGAGGAGTTTTTATCGGCACTGTTTACAGCATACTGGTGTGTGTGTTTTTTTTTCAATTTGGTGACATTTTGTTTGCTCTTCTGTTTGGCGGCATCGGGATTGTGGAGGGACTGTCCTGGGGTGGGATAGTCATTTGGCCTTTCCCCCGCAGTTACCGTCTTGGCCGCGTTGCGAGCACGTTTGGCATTCGCCGAATTCGCCCCCTTGGCCGATCCCCGCCCCTTTATTAGCTTCTCATGCTCCTTTATCAAAAACCCAATGTCCAGCTTCTCCTCACCGAAGTCATAAAACAATCCATTGCTGTCCTTAAACGTCTTGGGCTTGAGGAAATGCCTGGAGGCATCATCACCATGGTCGACAGAAATCTTATTCTGGGCACTTTTAAAGGCGCTCAAATTGCTGTACATATTATTTTCAAATTCTTTTCTGAAGTTATAACTGAGATGGTTAGCAATGTGTGTACCTTCATTGAAAAAGTTCCCGAATGGTTTCCTGAAAGGAACTTCTCTTATTTGACCATCTCGTTTCATGAGTGGGTATAAATTTTGAGGATGATTGGCCGCCTTTGTTTGCCCCTTTCCCCACTCGTCTTCTTCGGCGTCGTCCATTTGGTTGGCTTTTCTCATCAGAGTCGCTTCGCCGATTTTGCCAATTCGGTCATCTTCCTGATCCTCCTCATCCTCTTCATCCTCCGCCGACGTGTTTCCAAACCTTGGGGACTCCACTTCACTATCACTGTTTTCATTCTTTTTGTACTCGTAATCGGAAAACGAATTTTTGGTTGTCTCTTCAATGTCATAGATACTTTTCCATAGGGGTTTTTCTAATTTCTCATTTTTAGAATTGTTCAAATTATGGTTATATGCATAATATGGTACATCCTTAATGGATGCCACTCCTTCCGATTCGGAGTCGCTATATCCGATTTTGCAAGAAATGTCTGAATGCGTTTCGTAATCCCTGAGTTGACCTTTCATGGCGTTTTCGTAAAAGCCAAATTGGTACTGGTTGCTCATTTTTCGTCGCGCTTGAGGTTTGGCTGAGGCGGTCAAATTTTCACACAGGCTTAACCGGAAATATACAGATAGACGCAGGGGACGCTGTATGTGCTCATTCCGGAGGCTACATTTGAGAGTGCCCCCTTACGCACAGGCGGAATGGCAAAAGGAGAACAGTTCTCCGAATGTAAATTTCCTCTTAAGAGGTAAGAAAAATGGGCACGAAAAACAAAAAAAGGAAAAAAAAAAAAAAAAAAACAAAAAAAATCACAGGTATAGGGTGTTGCCTTTGAGGGGTACATAAAGGAGTCCCCTCAAAGACCATCGGAACTGAAAAAATTTCGCACGTGAGTAAATCTGCTGCACGGCATTTGCACTTTTGTATACACATATATACATGGAAGAACTACGCTCCTACCCGCATATGCATATTTATGAGCGTACTTCCTTCCATGCATGTATACGTCTATCAATACGAAAACATAAAAGCGGCAAAAACGGGTCGCAGTCGAGGCAGGATCAAATGTCTAAAAAATTGCGAATTGGAAAAACTCAAACACAACGAAAAAAAAATTCGAAATAAATCCCAAAAAAGTGGAAACAAACATGTCAGGGTGAAGCATGCACACTTCGGCTTAGTGTTGCAAAGTTTTTAATTTTCCCTCAAAGAGGAGTACATAAAAAAAATCTGTACTGTTTTGCGCCTTTAGAAAGAAAATGTCTAAAAAAAAAAAACATTTCCACGTTTCCCATAAAAAATGGCTTGAACTATTTTGATATGCTTCATTTTGTTTAAGTTCCTCCACCAACACACGCATTCTCAGAAATGTGCAAACGGAGACCAAATTGATGAATGTAAAGAAATAAATGGAGGCACTTTTCCTTTCGTTTTACTGGGGATTTTTTTTTTCCACGTTTGCAAAATAGGGAAAATTGGAAAATTTGGCAAAAATGAGGATGTGACTTTCCCATGCCCCGCAGAGCGTGCAGGAAACGCGCTTGCCCAATTTTCAGAATTGTATTTTTCGGGTTGGCATACGTATGTACATAAGCATACGCATATGAAAACACATGCGCATGGGCGAGTTGTATGCATACCCGCGCGAGCGCAAACAAATTGCCCCTATCAGTTGAACAGTGCCCTACGGGAACATTATTTACGCATTTTTCTGCCACCCAGTTCAGTTGCAAAGGCGCACATTTTTATTAAAAAAAAAAGTTGTAAAAATTGTTAAGAGGTTTCCCCCTTTTGTCAGACATCCGTTTTAGCACGAAATTGTCCAAATGTGGCAAATGCACAAGGATGCTAAATTGGGAAATACGTAAAAAAGGAAAAAAAGAAGAAAAAAAAGAAAAAGAATGCACCATAAAAAACTGTTAAAAATTGAAGAAAAAAAAATGCCAAAATGCCAAAACATGCGCCACTAAAATAATGGCAGATTTACGACTAAATGTTAGCACTGCGAATGCAAACATTGTGCCCCTTGCCGCCTATCATGCGACAATTTTTTGAGGATTCCCTTCATTTTGTATTTTGCAACTTTGAAGCGCCCCTGAGGGGCTTCCCCCTGAGCGTTCGTTACACCGCAGTTGTCTGCGCAACAATGGAGTGGCATGAGCAATCACAGGGGTACCTTCACCTCCGCGCGCACATGCCGCACTCCACATCACATGCATACGCGGAGGCCTCTAAAAATGCTTGGACAAAGAACTCATTTTGTGAATCCAGCGCAGCTGTCTCTCATTAAAGTTGCGCGTCTGTAGCTCCTCCAATAAGGCCTTATACTCCCGCATGTCATTATTTATGACTAAGTTTTGGCACTGGTATTTTTCCATAAAGTTCACACACTTGTCCTCTATGGGGGTTACCAGCTTCAACCACTTTGTCCCTTTAAAATTGTTCATCAGAAAATTTGCTCTTTCGTTGAACTTCACCGCGGTGTCCTTTAAAATGGTAAACAACTCCGCCTTCTGCCGTATGGCCTCGTCATACTTTTTTCTGAAGGGTTCGCACGGGGAGATGCGGAAAAAAAAAAAAATGTATTATGCATTAGGTATTATGTACTATGCATTATGTATCATGTATTAGATATGATGTATCATGTAAGACGCATGGGGGGAAACAAATATGCTCACAGGTGTGCACCACACGTGTGCTCCCATCTTTTGTTCACAAAAACGGGAAACGCCTCTTCTCCCGCTTTTTGGAGCTACCGCGCCTTTGCGCATCCATCTGAGGAAAAAAATTCCCCATTATTTTCCACGCCATGTTCTTGGGGGATACAAAACTCTGAGAATTCTCTCTTGATGATTACCTCACGTCCTGAGTTTCCCGAAATATTTTCTCCGCATGGTTCATCGCTTCGTTTAAATTTTTGAAGTATTGCTCTTCCTGTTTTTTGCGAATGTCTCTTATGGCAGCTTGCGAAGTGGAGTTATCCTCAGAGGTAGTTCGCTCTTCCCTTTTGTTGTTCGATGTCTCAGCACAGCTTCCTTTTTTCTCCGTTTTCCCAACCCACTCCGTATTTACTAAGGACTCGTGCCTAAACTTGAGAAACGATTCAAACTCCCTGTCAAGTATAGTATCAACTGACTGGAATTTCTTCAAGTGCTGCTCCTGTCTATCCTTTTCGATTTCCCCATATCTAAAATTCAACCCTGTATGGTTTTCTATTTCATTTTTTATTTCCATATTTTCTTCACTAACGAATGATATTTCTCGAAGAATTTGAATTATTTCATTCTTTCGTTTTTTTTCCTCCTCCTCAAAGTTTTTCATCATCTTGTTTTGCTTCTCCACTATGCGCGCAATGCTACTGTGCAGATTTCTTTCTCTTTCCTTAAAAAAGGCATAATTATGTTGCAGCGTTTTGTTTAATGACGTGAGTTTGTCCAAGTGTTGCTCCGGGAAATTCATCGCTTCTTTTATTAAATCAGATTTGGTTTCTTCATCCAGGGGGATAGTACCAAATAGGATGTTTTCTATCATTTCCTGCGCTTCCGATTTTGGTGGCGTTTCCTCCTTTTCTAGGGATCCCACGTCCTTTCCATGTTCCCGTTTTGTCCCTAAACTGCCTCCTCCCATTTGGGACTTCTTTACATACTTTATGAACACTTGGAGGAATTCCCTCAAGGGGGCATCAACCGAGCAGACGAAGTTAAAAATCGGTTCGTCCTCTTCCTTCACACCGGAATTGCCGCACATGTTGAGGCGGACTCTCAAGTGCATTTCAGCCATATTGCAGTAAATCTCGCTTATAATTTTGGCTACTCTGTTAAAATTTGAAATATCTACTGGGGGGCCCTCCCCGGTGAGGGGTTGTCTAACGAAGTTGCTCAAGTGAGCAAGCGCCATGTTCAGTTCTGTCGCTTCGACCCTATTAGCCTCTCCTCCCGCGTCGCCCAGTTGTCCCCCTCCCGGTTTTTTTTCACCGTGCCTCCCGCAATAAACGTTAACGAAGAAGAACTTGTTCCTCCCTCCTGTGTTACTTTCACCATCGCTCACAAAATCCCTAACAAGCCCATCCTCCCCTTTTGTGCTTCTAATGTGTATGCTGATTAATGTGCAGAAGAAATTTTCGTTCTTTTTTATCGCCTCACGCCTGACGGTCTTCTCTTCCTTTGCCGCAAAGTCGAGGATGTCCTTCAACTTCTGCGAGTCTGAAAATTCCACTGGGGTTGTTTTTTCTCTGAATTCTTTTAATTCACTATTGAGAGGGCCATTCATTTTGCTCCTCTTCTCATTGTAAATTCTTCCTTTGACATTTTCTTCATCGCTCCTTAAGGTGCAACTTTTTATCTTTTGGTAATACGCTCTATGTTCACAACAATTTTGTAAAAGGTCGTGCCAACTGCGTGAACTGAGGAAGCCATACCTTAATGAATACCTTCTCTGTTCGTTTTTTTTTTTAAAAAAAATATCTACCAAGTTTTTTATTTGAGCATCGCTAGGGTTGTCAAGGGGATCATTCCCTTTAACACCATCCCTGTTGTATTTACATGTGTGCGATTTGTTCGAGTTGCTAATAAATGAGACAACACACCCACTTCCATATTCTGCGTGGCTTCTCAACAAGCCATTTAGTATGTCTTTATTAATTTTATCCTCGCTGGAACAGTCGGCACAGCTGGCCAACATCGCGTCGTCATTAGCACCACCATCGTAGCAGCACTCCACTTGGCGAAACCGTTCCGAGTTCGAATTTACACACTTTTTATAACCCTCTTCCAATTCCTCCACTTCCCTTCCTACTTCGCCATGGTTGGTAATTCTTTGCTTTACTTTTATGTACAGCTTTAATTTCCCATGGCACTGATAAATCACGTTATTCACAAGGTTTCCCTTTTCATTTGGCATTGTAATGCTGTGCTGGCCAGGCAACGCACTGCGCGTGCATGCGTATGCGTCTTTCTGGAAATGTTTGCGGGTATGTGTGTATAGGCATGGATTCGTATGTTGGCATGTTTGGACACGCATGTACATAGGCAAGTCCCCAACGCGGACCCACTTAAAAATAAGATTCAATTGCGCGCCCTTCTTTTTTTAATTCCTCCTCCGGGAAAATTACGCGCGCAGGAAAATATATGGTTTGTTATTTTATTATGTTTTATTTCTATTCATAAGACGTCATTTTTGCGACAATTCACTTTGGAATTTCAAAAGGGAAATTTTAAGGCAAGCATTTTGGGGGGAGAAAATTAAGAGGGCATAAAATAACAGACAGAAGTGAGAGCACAAAAGTGAAGCGAGGATTTTTTAAAGGTGCAAATGTTTAAAGCAAAAAATAGGAGGAGAAAAAAAAAAAAAAAAAAAAAAACGGGGAAAATGGGAATGGGAGAAACGGAGAAAAGAGCAGCACACTTTTCCCCTAACCGATGCGACACTTATACTCCCAGGACACCTGCCGCCCCCCTAATGTTCATACCTTTTATGACAGAATAGAGAAATAAATTTTTTCTAGTGATTACGATTTAAGAAGATACATAGTGAAGTTCATTTTTTCTTTTAAGTCTTTTTAACTCACTTGGGGTGAACACCTCTGTGTAGTGAGCGTCTTTTTAAGCCGTAATTTTGTTTAACCCAATTTTGCTTCCGTTTGCTTTTTTTGAAGAGCCTATGTTCTGCTATTTCCTGCACTGTTACGTGAGGCACAACTTGTCGCTTTTTTTTCTCCATTGTGTGTTCCATTTTGTTTAAAAAATTTCCCCTGGCACGTGAACCGGAAGGCGTCTACCACTGACTTATGCAAAACGGCGAATTTGTTGAAGGTAGCCGTCAATTTTGTTACAGACCATTTTGTAGGTAGTTCTGTCCAAGACGTCTTCACCTCTTCATACTGCGCCCCGCATAAATATCGTTAAATAAATTTTTTTTTTTCTTATTTTACGAAATGAGCATGCAGCTAAAACGTTTAATGTTTGCCTTTTTGAGGGGATTGTTTTTCATCACCATATTGTTCACACGTTTTAATCCCTTTCGGAGAGAAAAAAAATAACGCGCCAAATGTACCCACACATATATGCCATGACGTAGGGTGTTTTATCTCTTGTCTATGGCACCCCTGTGGCGGTTGCTACAAATGAGCAGAAACGCACACAGAGATGGGGCATTTGGAATGTTTTCCCTCCTTTGCGCGGTTAAACATTCACATGTGAGAATGGGCCAATGTTGACAAGAAGGCGGACATACCTTATATGCTAAGTACGTTACACGCAATGCAAGTTGGGGTTTCCACAAAAGGATAAAATGAAGCTAAACAGAGCGAAGTAAAACAGATCGTTGAGAGCAAATTGTTTTTCCTCCTCCGATGGGAAACAATGCCTTTTCATATATTTCACACTCATGCATGCAAACTGCATCAGCAATCAGCGTTATCAAAGGGATCGATTAACCAAAATAGCGAAAAAAATAAAAACTCCAAAAGGAAAAATTCAAAGAACAAGCGAAATGGAGGCATATTTTGCCCCTCTTCAACAGGGATGTCACAAACATGTACAACTGTTGCTGCTGTTTTAGAGCCTTTGAGCTTGAAATTGTTTTTCGCTCTGTTTATTTGTCTTCCACATTGAATGATTAAAAAAAAAAAAAAAAAAACCCAAGGAGAAAAAAATGGCAGATAAGAAGACCAAAAAAATGGCGAAAGTGAAATAGCAAAAAAGCGTGCTCATAAGGGTAGCCACACACAAAGTCATTTAAAAATTAATTCAGAGAAAGCGAAAAGAAGACCATTTGTTGTGTTAAAAATCAAATTAAAAACATCGCAATAAAAACGCTTAAAAAAAATTTCAAAAAGGAAATTTTATGTACACACATTCGTCTGAAAAACTCCTTCGGCAAAATTCCCCCTTTACGCAATATACATTCATATATACAACAACGTACATCCGTATAGCAATCCCTGCACAAAAAGATTTTACACCTCAAGAGAGTAAACACCAGAAAAACGAACAGAATGAGTCCTGTAGTTTTAGATACCTATGACTGCGTCTATTTAAGTAATTAAACAGAAAAAAAAAATTTGCTGTGTTTATATATGTACGTTCGCGCATCATTCATATGTGGAAAATTGTCCCAATGCTTGCCTTGCGAACCGCTTCTTTTGGTTGCAAAATATGTGTCCAGGCGCGTGAACATTCGCACATATGCATATACATATACACTTGTACATGTTTCTTTTTTTTTTTTCCGCAGGACCGCAACCACTAAGCACGTACTACTACCCACTAGGCATGACGTGGAAATATGTCGTAAGCTCGAAATCGACGGGCTGCTTTGGCACGACGAAAAAATACACCTTGACCCCAGAGACATACTACTACCCATATTACTATTACTATGTTTATTACACCCCGGCCGAATCTCCCATCGTCTGCTCATCCAATAAAAAAGTAATCAAAGATAAAAAAAAGAAAAACGATGAAGATAAGAAAGAGGTAAAAGACGAATCTTCAAAGGAGGGAAGTGAAAAAGACGAAGGATCCAAAAAAAGTTCAGGCAAAAAAAAGTATGAATATGTTGACCGAGAAACAGTGGTGAGGACTTACCTACCTGTAGTGGAACCGTACTATTACACCAGAAGCTATTACGTTCCACGTGCAATTCTTTTCCCATAATGTTCGCCGCTGCGATGGGGAGAAACATCGTGTAGGCAGAAAAGCCTGCATGGAAACTTTCCCCAATGTTATATATGCCATTTTGCACACCGATTCGCGCGTGCATCAATTTTCCTCCTCGATGCGTTAGAATTGTGGTAAAACTCACGGGGAAGGCATATATGCATGTATATGTATATGCACCATTTTGCTTATCCCCCGATGAACAAAAAAAGAAAAAAAGTGGCTTAATTAATGACCTTTTTAATATTTCCTTTTTTTTTCATTTTATCATAAGCTCTCATATTTTTGGATATCGTTCTTTTTAATTTCTTCTGTCTTTTATATTTAATATTTGTTGGAGTAGCACACGTTTCTCCTGTTCCTTTTAAGAACAAACCCGTTTCACAACTTTTCGACGTTTTTACAATGTTTTTTTTACGCTTTTTTTATTCTTTTTTTACGTTTTCTTTATTTTTCTATTTCTACCTGAACCGTTCATAGAAAATGTTCCCCCGTGAAACGATCATTATTAACCCCCAAACGTGACTCCAGCGCCGCTTTAAAATACGGATTTTTCCACGTTCTCTAATTTCTTTAAAAACAAAAGGGTTAATCAAATGGGTGCGTGGATGAAGCGACTGCCTCCATTGGAGAATAATGGGTGTGCGGTTACAAAAAAAAAATAAGAAAAATAAATCATAGGAAAAATTCAAAATTAAAAAGCTGATGTGTGTGTGCTCCCTTGCAACTCCACCGCGGGTAGCGGTAGGTGGGAAAGAGGGGAGACTCATATAGGATGCCCTGAGAAGAAGTTCGCCCTCGATGTAAAAGTTCGCACACCCGCGAAGCAACAGAATGGAAGGGTTCGCCTCGCATTTTACTGAACATCGATGCTCTGCATGTTTCTTCCCAATATTGCGGCAAACCAGTCATGTGCGCCCTGAACAAATATTAACCAAAATGAAAGGCGCTGGTCTGACTTGAGCAATCGCGCCAGGGAGGTTCACTCCACTATAATGTATAATGCACTACACTGTAGTGTGCGTTTATACCATGTTTAATTGTCCCTTGCCCGTATTCACAGAAAGTCTGCATCGTGACACAGTTATCATGTCGCCTTGAAAAAGAAAAAAAAGAAACCCTTTTTGCTGCTCACCGTGAACCATGTGCCGATCCACGTAGTGCCTGTTCCTTTCCCTCTACGCGCAAACTTCTTACGACTTGTTGTAACTCACATTATAGGTCGTTTTAAACCTCACGTTTTCACTCATATAGAGGTCTGAGTTTTCAACCGGTTGGACCAGGTTATTAGTATTTTTGTATTGAGTTAAGTGGAATCGAGTGGCATTCAGGTGCTTGTTTAAGAAGTCTTCCTTTTTAGCCATGAAGTTGTCCCGTATTCTCTCTCTTATGATATAGGAGGGGCAAAAGGGGTCCAGCTGTAAGTTGTAATTGGCAATCACATTGTCGTATTTTTTGGCAATATTAGCATTTCTGTTATTTAGGACATGCTCACTGGAGGACCTCTCCCGAGCACCCTTACCAGAGTTATATCTCTCCCTCTGCAAATCTTTAACGAATTCGAAATATGGCTTGTTGGTATTTTTAATCCAATTGAGCATGGACTTCTCCTCAAGTTGATAATTTGCCAGAAAATCATTCACATTGATGAATCCCTTTTTTTCCGTATCGATATATTTTAGCAGTATGTTAACATCCGTATTTGAGATGTCTCTAATTTTTAGCTTTTGGAAACTTTTACGTAAATCTTCCTTCGTTATGTAACTATCTTTGTCAACGTCTAGATGTTTAAAAATTTCGTAAATGGATAAGTACGAAACTTGCGAATCTGTTTTGTTGTTCTCCTTTTTTGTGCCCAGATAATTTGACTTGAAATTGTTTCTCACGGAGTAGTCTATTTCTTCGATTAAAAATTTTGCCCTTTTAATTTCTTCTTTGTTCAATTCTTCCGCGTATAGCTCCCCGACCATTTCTGAGGGGGGGATATTTCTGGAGTAAGAGTCGTACGCGTCTTTTATGCTCTTATTTTGGCTGTTCAGCATTTCGTAGTCGATGTTTAAATTTTGGATAAAATGATCCACGGACACTTCGTGGTTTTTGTTCGTTAGCAGGGTGGATATATAAGCCTTCATATTAAAGTTTGTCAACCCTTCCCGTTTCTGTGTTCCTTTTGATTTCTTCTCCGATTCGTGAGAATAATCACTGTTGGGCCCGCTCTGTCCTACCACGGTTGGGTGAGGAACATCCTTTCCCCGTTCTTCAATTATTTGTGTGACATACTTTTCCAGGTCGTCAATTTTTATTTTGTCTTTACCTTTGAACAAATCGGATAGCTCCCTTTCCGATATGAGTTCCTTAAACTGTTTGGAAAATTCCGAAGCCTTCAGCCTGACATTGTCGATGTAATTAATTGTCTTTAATTTCACATCCTCTGGATTAAAATTGTACTTTAGCATTTTATTTTTTAACTTGCTGCACACAATTTTGTTCACATAGCTATTTTCGTCATTCCCCCCCTTGAGATTAATAAAACTGGAAAAGTCATTATAGTTTATTTCTCCCCCTTCGCAATTTAAATTGCTCTTCAAAACATACCAAGAGTATTTTATCTTGTTGTCCGCCATGCTGGGAAGTATATATTTGACCATGTCTTTATATTCGTCATAGTTAAATTTGTCTTTGCCACCTCCTCTGGATGGATCCCTCTCCCCATGTGTGTGATTTTCTATTTCTGCCTGACATTTTGCACTGCGCGTGTCCATTATTTGGCCAATTTTGTACCTCAGACGGCTTCCCTCTGAGTTGTGCACGTGACTTAAATAGCTCCACAGCTCCGTTACGTCAATTTCTTTTTCGACTTTGTCATTTGAGTTATCTTGTACGTTCACATTTGTGACGTTTATCTTCTTTTTGCATTTTTTTGACTTAAATTTACATGGGGTGCCTTTAACATAGCCATTTTCCACACCATCAGTAATTTTAACAAGTTGGACAAACTCTTCCTTCGCGCACTTCTTTTCACTTTTCCCAACTTGCAAAAAATTGACTCCTTCTTTTTTATGTTTCTCCTTTAGTTGATCTGAAAAGATGGAACTATTCATCATTCGAGCAGTGGCAGGGTTTCCTCGCCAATCACCATCGTCCTTATGATGCCTTTCCTCCGCACCCTCGCAATCGCTGACATTGGAATAATCAGACACGACGGAGTGGAAACATGGTTTGTTCGATTTCCCCGTTTTATGACATCTTTCCTTTTTTCTTGTTGCCATTTAGGACACACGAACAGGTTGGGTGTAAAACAGCAGGGAGGGTAATAATATTTTCATGCTTTGTTCCCACTATGGGTGGATGTAGCGTCTGTGAGGGGGTCAGCATACTCACATCGAAGCGTATAATTGGCTGGATAAGAAGAAACACTTCATAGAAGTAAGAAGCGGAAGCATACACCAATACACACTCATCAATGTTTAATTATCAAAATCGTTTATTTTTAAAAAAGGCCATGCGTTCATATATGCCTGAAAAGTTACTCTAACCGCGGGGTCCCCAAATGGATGTCTTTTTTTTTTTTTTTTTCCTTATAATAAACGCACCCCCTTTTTGCCTAATTCCACCTGCTTACGGTTCGTATAAATTCGTCTCATGGGAATGTTCCTAAAAAGGGAGAAGCAAGAATGATACAATTGTTTTGCTCATTCGGCATAAGAGCATTTTTGCAGACTTCGCAAAAGAGTATACTTACGCGGCGCACTGTACATTGGGATGCCCTAGGCATCTGTCCCGACGTAAACATATGCACACTAATGCATGCACAAATGTAAGGGGCAGAATCCAGAGGATTTTTCTCCCTCTGCCTTTTTCCTTGGCTCATTCGCTAATCAGTTCAGTTACGTAAAATAGCACATCTCGATGAACCTTGAGCAGTGGCAGGTGCAGGGAAGGAAAAAAAAAAAAGAAAAAAAAAATTAGGCATCCCTAGAAGGAGCATCCGAAGCGAACGTAGAGAAGAGCGAACAAAATGAAGAAAAATGCAGAAGCCAATGACAGACAAGGGAAAGTCGAAAAGAGATGCATCCTAGACATGCTAAGAGAAAACGACTGCGAAACTCTGGAGGAACTTAAAAATTTAATAATCTTCCTGAACAGCGAAAATAAGAGGCTGCACTCAGTGAATATTGAATCACTCAAAAAAATAAACATCCTTACCGTCAGGGTGAAGAATTTAGAAAGCTTAGCAAAAAATTATGACGAGTTTTATCAAAATGGAAAGAGCTACAAGGACAAGTTAGAGCAGCTGAGCCGCAAAGTCAATGCGCTCATGGGTTACGCAGTAAGTGTGCGCGAAGGGCGGTCCCTGGGGAGTACCCCACCGGTTCCTTTTGCGTGGAAGCGACCAAATGTATACTTCGTTGGGCTGTCCCAATGTACTATACCCCCCGCTTAACCAACCATCCCTCCCTCCCCGCTTCCCCCAATTAACCCCTCCTTCTTGCCTGCTTCTCCCCCGCAGAAGGACAAACAAAACGAGTGCTGCGAACTGATCGGAGAGCAAGACAAGTACTTTAGAAACTTCTTCGCAAACCTGAATAAAATTATCGAATCGATTGTTTCATTCAACGCGGATGGGGGCCGAGGAGAAGGAGGTGCCTTTCCCCGTGTTAGCAGCCCCCTTGATGGGGAAACCTACCGCCAAAGAGGGAAGCCAAAAGGATCCCCTTCGGCCTGCGAATCCGACAATGACGAAGACGACAATAATCTCGGTTACGCCAATTCGGAAGATGAAGACAACGAGAACGCACAAAAAAACGAAAACGAAATACACAAAAAAGGGTTTAATTATTTAACCGCGACAAGGGAACGCACACTTACCAGGACCAACACACACGCTGAAACATCCAGCCATCCCGATATGTCTCCACTTGATGAGTCACGGATGAAAGGAGAACAGGACAGATGCAACGAAAGAATCGAAAAAATAAAAAGCTTATGCGAGTCATTTAAAAATATAGACAATGAGTCTTCCAAATCTGGAAATTTCGATGGAAGTAGGAAGCCAAATGGGAATCTTCCCGTTTCGTCAAAGCAGAAAAAAAAAAAAAAAAAAAAAGCATTAGATAATCAGCCTGATGAGCCATTTCATTCAGGATTTGAAAATGAGCATATGCAGGAGTACCAACTGGCGAATGATGAGGACATCAAACTGGTCCATAGTGCAGATTTAGGGGATGGAAAAATACGTGAAACAGTGACGTACAAAAAAAAAACTGGAAGCAACGTGGATGCACAAAAGAGGCAGGACAACATTGCGGATTATGATAAGGACATAAAGAAAAGGTTAAACAATTTGGTAAACGACATAAGTAGTAGTACCAAGGGAAACAAAAAAAACCATGACGCTGCTGCAAAGAACCCTTCCAATAAAGTTTCCAGTGCTCAAAGCAACATTATGGATATCTTAAATAATCGAATGCATAAGGCCTCGTTGGAGCACATAGAAAGTAGTAGCACTACTCCCAAGTACGTCAAATATAACACTATACATCGCGAAATTATGAATCCACGTCAACACTTCGTTAATCAGAATAAAAATTCTGTTGATCATATTATTTGCCTCTAAGGCTTGTGCCATGTGTGGAGCGTTTCACCATAGCTCGTCCCCCTCGGGGAAAACACACGGGGTGAGTAAAGTACAACCCTAGTGATTGCCTTTCTGCCAGTGCCCCTGCGCCATTAGATGCGAACATCTCAGTGGGAAGTGTCCATTATAAGCGTTCGCCTACGTGAAACACGCTCATTATGAACCGTTTGTCTTGTCAGTTTTTTTTTTTCTTTTTTTTTAAAATAGACATAGCGTATGTTTCACCTCACTTATACGGTCACATTTTTTGGTCTTTTAAACATTTCTGAATTTCATGTGCATATTTTTTTTTAAAAAACTTCTTTTATTTTTAAAGCCACATTTTGGAAGTTATGCGAGGGGGATGGGAACCCCAGAAATGAAAAAAAAAAAATTAAATAAATATATTTTACACATTGCGCCGCCTTAAAATATTATCCACTTCGAGAAAGGGAAAGAAACTCCGACCTGGCTACCCCCGACAACGCAGCGGAGCTCGTTTTTTCCTTTCCCTCGCGCCAAAATTGACCAAATTTTTTCTCCACTTCTAAACTGGCAAATAACAGGGAGTTGTTCAAAATGATTTTTCAGGCATGCTAGTTTGGTACAATTTTGATTTTTTTTTTTTTTGTTTTTTTCTGTTTCATTTGGGAATATCTTAAAGGTGACCTTTGAATATATCACAGAAGCTTTGTATATATCCCCTGCTCGAACGAGTCAACGACCTTCTCTTCCTCCGATGTGCCGAGAGAAGAAGCGCAAACATGAGGAATTCCTCTTTCCGAGTGATGGGGCCCACATATAAGGATAATCGCCAGGATGCGCATATATACTTGCATACACATGTGCGCACTTGCTGAGCGATGCTAAAAAAGTCCCACACCAATTGGCATGCCACAGGAGGCTTCTCACTCCCATGCGCCTGATACACTCGAGAATTGGGCTCTCATTTTGGTCTCCCATTTCGTCCCAACATCCCCTCTCACACTCACACAAATAGACTCACGTAATCACCACACGGCCCGTATCTCGCCAACGGATGAAGATGTGAAATGCTGAAGTTCATAAAAATTTTTTTCGTTTATCTGGTTTTAACCAACGCTAAGAAGACGCTGCGCACGAATGAGAGATGCCACCTCCAGCTGTTTTTAAATGGCTCCACAACGTTTGGTGCAAAAAGGAAGAGCCAAAGTTGTGTAGGAAAAATAACCCCCTTGTATTTGAGGAAAAGGCTCGACCCAAACGACAAGTACACAGTAATCAAAAGACATGAAGCAAAAGTACAGAGAAATTTAAAGAGGAAGTACCTGATTGAAAGATACAAGGAAAAAAGAGAGCTACTAAAAAAATACATAGCAGAAGCGTCGTCCCCTATTGAATATGTCTACTGGAAGTACAAGTTGTCTTCTCTTCCCAGGGACTCCTGCCCTGTCAGGTTTCGGAATAGATGTGCGATCACAGGTAGGTGCGAAGAGGGGGGGCCAGAAAAATGCACATAAGTACACGCGGAAATGTGCATATTTATATGCATGTACCTGCCTCCTACACGTGAACACAATAAAATACGTACTTCCTTCCCCACGCAGGCAGGGCTCGCGGATATTATTCCTTCTTCGGCCTGTGCAGACACCAAGCTCGTGCGCTCATACAGAAAATGTTCTTTCCCGGTTTTGTCAAGGCATGTTGGTAGCATTTGAAAGCTCTCCAGGGATAATGGATGAGGGGCATTTGTGACGTCGCGCAGGATTATTTGTTGGCTATGCCAGACACGAGCAAATTCCCAAATGGATGTTTTCACGTTTTCCATAAGTTCCACTGTTATGTGTTTTTTTTCACCTCCTTTTGGGACAACACAACGCTGTTCTGTAAACAGAGTTGTGTGTATTCCCCTGCTCGCAAAGTGCCAACCCCGGTACATCGCAACGTTAACATAGTAATGAAAAAAAAAAAAATAAAAAGAATAAATGGACATTTGATTAGCAGGTTTGACATTTTTTTTTTTTTTTTTTTCCCCCCCCCCCCCCCCCTCCTGAGAGGGTTATCTTTGCATGCTTGCCAACTTCCCAATGCATGAAAGCTTACTCCAGTAATTTCCCAAAAATGCTGGCGAGCATTTCGCCTAGTTCAGTGCCCTGCACACATGGGAAAAAAACGGAGTTTTTTTTTTTTTTTTAATCCCATTTTTGCGATCAGTCGAGAGTAGCCTGTTCTTCCCCTTCACATATGCTGGTCCAAAGGTTGACACCGTTACAAAAAAAGAAATTCCCCTGTATGTGCTTTTTCGCGTCAGCGAGGTGATCGCGCTTGTGTGCTAGTTGTGTGCCTACATGTATGTTCGTATTCTACGCTTAACGTTTTTTTTTTTTTCAAGTGTTCTCTCTCATTTCGTGCCGGGGGTGTATCATATATGCGACAAAATTTGTACAGTCCATTTTCTACCTTTCGCCGAGTTGTAAGCTGCATCGCATTTGTGTGTCATCTGTGTTGGTTGGGGGCAAGAGCATGACTATGTATATTTACTAAGCACCACTGCAGCGCACTACAATGGGGTTAATTAAAAGGGGAAAAAAAAAAAGCAACACAGTGATAGATAACTTATTGCCTTTCTCTTTTTTTTTCGCAACGTTCTTTGTAGAGTTTTTTCTTCTTTATTCGTATAAAAATATGGTGGTTTTTTTCTTTTTTCGCTTATTTGTAACATAATTTCGTATATTTTTTTTATTTTCTCCATATTCCCCCGTGTATTCTATTTTTAAGTAAAAAGCTTTCTACAGGTGAGAAGCTGCCCTTTATTTTTTGTGCCGGTACGTGCCTACCTCGCCTTAGTACATGTTTACAATTCCCCCAAGGGGTCAAGTCAACGCTGGCAAAAAAAAAAAAAAAAAAATACCTAGTTAGCTTAGTTCCTGCGAGAAAAGTTCCCATCTGAACTTTTTAAATTGACAAAGGTGCAACCGTTTGTTGGCAAATGGGAAGATACAATTTTTTTCTGCGTAAGTTGGGTTATCGGTAGAGGCAACCCACACAGCGGCATCACACGTGGTAGGAAATCAAGTCAGAACGAACGGACCTCGCGGCAGCCGGTCGTTTTCCCGCACAGAACTCACATAAGGAACGCATATGCAGACGTAATACAGCTCGTGCGCACTGAAAAGTGTCTACACAAGCGAAAGATTTGCTTGCCGTTGTCTCGCTGCTCCTTGATTAGTGTCCCACCGCTCCATTTGCTGCTTCGTTTCCCCCCGCGGAGTTTCATTCACCAAGTACACACACTGCGTAAGATGCGAAAATGCAAAAAATTCAAAACGCGATGAGGCGAAGAAGTCGCCCATTCAAATGGGACGTGAAGTTTTACAGCAGTAAGTTAAAGGTGGAGAAGAACCCAGAGAAGAGGCACAACGACAGGCACAGCGGTAGCCACCAGGAGGGGAAGGAAAAGAAATACAACCTGTGGAGGTGGGGGTGCTCAGGCGAAAGTATCTTCTCCTCCGTGAAGGTCGGAGAGAAAAACAAAATGCCGGAAAAAGTCCCAAATTTCGAAAATGCAAAAATTGAAAAGCTCTCAGCTGGCTGCAACCACGCAGCCTTTATAGTCGACGGAAAAATATTCACCTACGGTTTGAACGACAAGGGACAGCTAGGAAGATTGATAGAGGAAGAAAATAACCAAAATAAGAATTACACGTTAACACCAAAGGAAGTGAAGACCGAGGGAAATGTAAAATTCAAAGACGTCTGTTGTGGTTTTAAACACACCGTGGCAGTTGATGTGAATAATAACCTATATAGTTGGGGGTGGGGTGGGAATTTTTTTAAAGGAGCAAATGGACTGGGGCATGGAAACAAGCAAAATTTAAGTACCCCGAAAAAAGTGGAGTCATTCAGAAATGATGATTCTGAGTTTGTAAATATCTGTTGTGGTGACCAACACAGTTTAGTGTTAACGAAAAATGGGAAGGTATACGGATGTGGACGAGGTGAGTTTGGTAGATTAGGTAGAGGAAACCACGGAGATCAATTATTTTTTGAAGAAATCGATTTTTTCATTAGTAACAATATCACCGTTAAGGGAATTTCATGTGGTCATAGTTTCTCGGCAGCCTTATCAACTGAGGGGGAGGTCTACGTTTGGGGAAGGAATGACTATGGACAACTGGGCATAGAAAATAGCATCGGAGATTTATACTCCCATGAGGTATACCCAAACAAGGTGAAATATTTCGACATGGAAAATATTAAGATCAAATTTATTGCTTGTGGTGACAATCATATGATTGCTTGCTCAGAAAATAACGTCATTTTTTTCTGGGGCTCCAGGGCATGGCTGGAACCCAAAGCCATAACCCTAAGTCCCCTATACCAAAATAGCATAATTAAAAAAAATATCGACAAAATACAGGCAGGTGGAAATACCTACTATTATTCTATGCTTCTTTCTGACAATAAATTGTACTCTTGGGGAAAATACAACTCCTCTTGTTTGGCTCTAAGCGATAAAAGAAACCATAACGAACCTACGCTCGTTGACTCCAAACTGTTTAATGACGAAATCGTTTGTGACATTTCTTGTGGTCGGGGAAGGGTCCTCGCCAAGACGCTGGCCGTCGATTGACCTGGCTGCGGTGTGAAGAGGCGGCCATGCGGTCCGATGTTATCCCGTGCAATGCTATTTCATCCCGTGCGGGATCCTCTTATTCCCTGTTAACCCATGATGTGCCCCAAATTTTCCCACCCAGTTGGATACCCCTCCATGGTGCAGCTCATTTGCTGGCCAGCCGCTGCCCGGGCATGGGCACCGTCGCTCCGTTTCGCCCGCGTAGCGTTTTGCACCGTACGTTCCACGAGATACGTTTTACGATTTATGTTCATTTTTTTTTTCTTTTTTTTTTGTCTTTCTTAAGCATGTTTGGACTTAAAAACAAAAAAGCACGTGCCCCCATTTGCCTTTTATTTCTCCCCTTTTGAAAATCATAAAATGTATGTACCATTCTACTGCATGTTACCAACTCTGCTTAAAAGAAAGGGAAAGACAAGGGGATCGGCTGACATGCCCACCGTAGTCATTTACTACGTAGCTGCTTTTATCCCCTTCTGTATTCCCCCGTTTGTATGCCCCCTTTTCTTTGTCAATTTGGACAGCTTTAAACAAACCGCTCCGCATGGCACTCATGCGGCATATTGATATAACCGTTTCGAAATGACGCGTTAAAAGAAGGAAGCGCGTTTATTGACTAACTCAGAAATGGTTTTCCAAAAGTGGATCCAGGAAGGACAGACACAAGTTGGGATGTCCCATGATAGGGAATAAACGAATCATATCTGTGCAAATGGTTACGGGTTCACTCACCGCTCCCTTAGTTTTGCCACCCCCAAAGGAGCATTTTTTTTAACGTATCAAATAAATATAGACAACGTGCTGAACCGTTTAAGTTTTTTCTTTTCCTTTTCAAAAGGTGGTAAGCAACTGTTCATGTGTATCGTGGTACTATCTTGATGAGGGGGGGTGAAAAAAAAAAGAAAAAAAATATGCAGAGCGGAGTTGCGCTTCACATCCTTGCTATTAATTTAAAAGAGTGAGAAAGCTTCCATCTTTAGGTGGCTCCAACTCGGGAGGGAAAAACAACTCCCATGCTGTTTTCAGCTACCGTTGTAAGACATTCCTATCATAGAGAAGGCATTTTGAGTAAGTTGCTTTTTATTCACAGAGTGCGAACATGGTGAGAAACACGTCTGAATACTTACCAGCCAATGCTTTATCATTGTGGCAACAATTAGGGAGACGGAACTTCATGCCAAATGGGGAGAGGGTAACACACGCAGTTGTTTATTTTCCCTTTAGTGTACAAACACCTTGTGCCTGAAAAACATCGTTCGGCTTCTTCTCCCATTCGGTGCGAGTCTACTTTAATTTAAAAGAACATACAGGTTATGCACTTCTATCCCATAATATATCTACCCTCGCGCAGGAAAAGGTAAGAAAAATGGATCATTTTGCGCCTTCCCCTTGCCTTGATATATTATATGCTTCTTTTATCCACTTTACTCTTTTTGCTCCCTTCCATATGTTCCACATAACATATCAAAATTTTGACCGTGGAAAATGTTACATCATCTTTTTTCCTTTTTTTCATGGCGACTGTGCAAACTATATCGAAGCAGAGTCTCCATGTCGATGGCGTGTAAGAGGTACCACCCGTGAAATGTATTCCTTTTAAACGGGAGAATTTGTTCAAAGACTAGTTAAACCTGTAGATGCATCCTAGCCATCTTGGGAGTTTTTTTTTTTTTTTTTTTTTTTTTCATATGCAACATGGCGATTTGTGCAACTGTGAAAAAGTAAGCACTATATTTCATGTAAGGGGAAGATTAAAAAAATGCGCATTTTGCCTCTTTTAAACATATAGGAAAATGAAAAATAAATAAAGTAAAATAATAAATTCCTGCGCGTGAGGGAAAAAACGCATTTTATGTGGCACTGGGATTTGCTTCTAACCTTGGTGCTACAGTTAAAGCGACTGGGTTTTAACTTCCCCATTTCATCCTTTTCTTTTTAAAGTGCCAAAGTAGATAAAGCAACGTAATCGCTTTTCACCAAAATATGACGAGAAAATTGCCCTTGTTGTACCAGATGGGTTCATATCTTTACAGGGATGTAAACAAAGTCAAAAATAGGAAAGAGGAAAAAGCACTGTGTCAAGGTTGACCGTGTACAATTTAACGCCCACTAGGATACGCTCATTTGCGCGTGTTTGAATGAAGCCCATGTAGATGGATCTCCCCATGGCTGTACCGTGTGGATGCATTTATGCATATAATATCTGCATATAGCGTGCCCATATGTACATCCCCCTCACACCCCCCTGTGCTATTGCATTTCCAGCTGTTTCCCCTCCGTAAGGCATCCGCAGCCAACCGTGTTCGCCGCCTGTAAACTAAACACCACTTAGCAGCAATGCAAATGCGCAAAGTGTTATCGCAGGACGACAGCACAAGAGTACAAGCACGCGAGGGAAAGAGTTACTACACTGCACGTTAGGGGAAATCGTATTGCTCTGCAGAAGTAACAGTTCGGTGAAGGGGTCCGCGGGGTACGAGGATCTTTAACCCCTCCGAGTGCGTCATACGTATGAGTGTGTGTATAGCTGCCTCAGTAGCAAACCACGGTTGTGTAGACCTTCCAGAGAAGCACCCCACGGCTGTGTAGATCAACATCCCATCGCATCCTCTGCGTCGACGAGAGGAGTGTACTCAGGCCCCCAGCTAGCGACAAGCCGAAAAGAATGGGATCCGCGCTGAGTGCGCCAAGCGCCGCGGGCGGGGAAGCGGACGCCGCAAACGATAACGGGGCAGGAAACGAAAATGCGAGGACCCCATTTTTCCAGAAACTTATCTCCATAATTGTGCAAATGCTAATCATGCACATGGTGATGTATTTCATATCTGGAGGGAAAAACAAAACGGGATCAAAAAATGGAAGTAAAATAGAAGGGCACAATTTAACACTAAGCAATAGCCTAGAACATGGGGACATATTTGACCTCTACGTATTTCTCAGTGACAACCATTCACTGGATTATGAATACATAAGAAAGAAGAGTAAAATGATACAAGTTAGGGAGAAGGAATTATATACATATAAAAAGTTCAGCAAATATGACCCGACTAACTTTAGCTTTACGTTAAATGATTCGTGGAAGGGAGAAAAGTACCTCAGCGTCATTATGATCCCCCTGCACTTTTATAAAAATCGTAATGCTTCTGCTCTACTGAGTAGCACAATAAAGGACGAATTAAAGAAACAGATTTTAATTGAGAACATCCCACTGACGGTCAAAATGAAGCCTTTCGAATCGGAGGAAAATGAGAAATATAATTTGATGGACGAGAGTTACAAAAATAAGAAAAGAAGGATAAAAGAGAAAGAAGAGAAGAAAGGAGAAAAAACAAAAAAAGAAGAATTCTATCACATAAAAAAGAGAATAGATATTAACATTATTTATGATCAAGCGAAACATCGAATTAGCGAATTTAATATGCCTCATTTGAAGAGGTGGAAAATTAATGTACACAACACTACGTACACTCCTCCAATATTTCTGTCCGATTTTTGGTTGCTAGAAACAGATTACTACGTATTGGATCGAACCTTTTTAAAAGATAAGGACAAAAGGACAAGTTACATCTCGGTGTACGATCCATATAGGATAACACAAAGTGAGAAAGATATTCATTCACACGTGATAGAAAAGAATGCTGACGAAAATAAGGTCGTACAAATTGAAATAAATTACGGCACATGCAGTTTTATGTATTATATGTTCATAAAACAGATGGATACATCGATACAGATGATGGACAAGAATAAGGAAACCTTTTCTTTCCAAAATTTAACAAACGCAACAGCTACAAAAGAAATTAACATGATGAAGAAAATTATAATGACTACAAATATTTACATGTTGATTTTCTCTGCTGTCTTCATTTTTCTCCATTCCATATTCTCCTTTTTCGCCTTCAAAAATGATATGCAATTTTGGTACCAAAATGAGTCCATGGAGGGATTGTCAGCTCTTAGCGTTATAACCACATTCGTGTGCGACATAATATTAGCGTTGTATTTATACGACTCGGAGAGCACATCCTGGTTACTCCTATTCGAGATGTTTGTCGGAGTAGCACTCTCTGCGTGGAAAGTTACCAAGGCGGTGCATGTATCCTTTAGTAAATCCTATCCCTATATCATAATGAAAGACAAAAAAAACTACACAGAATCGATGACCAAGAAGTATGACAAAATTGCAGTGAAATATGTTGGAATCATTCTCATCCCTTGCTTCATTGGCTATGCTATTTATTCTCTCTTCTACTATAAGTACAAATCTTGGTACTCCTATATCATCTCCGTGCTTGCTGGAACGGTTTATACCTTTGGCTTTATTATGATGACCCCACAGCTGTACATAAATTATAAGTTAAAATCTGTTGAGCACTTGCCATGGAAGGCTCTCATTTACAAGTCGCTAAACACCTTCATCGATGACATTGCCTTTTTCCTAATTGACATGCCCTGGATGCACAAGCTTTCTTGCTTTCGAGACGACGTTATATTTTTGTGCTACATATACCAGAGGTGCATCTATAAGGTCGACAAGAATCGCCGCAAGCACCTGGCCCAGGGGCAGAACCAGCTGGTGACTCAGTCCCCGCCGGGCGACAAGAAGAATGACTAGGCGTCGCTGCGAAACTGTGCGACGCGGCCTATGTGTCTACTTTGTTTCTACGTATTTTTTTTTTTTTTTTTTTTTTTTTTTTTTTTTTTTTTTTTTTTTTTTTTTTTTTTTTTTGATCCACCACCCCCTCCCCTCCATTTCACCCGGTGAAAGCATCGGGTATGTGTGTATGCTTCCCATCTGGCGGAACATGTCCGTGTTCCCCTTCTCCCTTTTGCGTGGCTTGGAAAGGGGTACCCAGCAATAGTCAGTCGAATGTCCCCATTGTGCGTATACTGGTACGTCTGCCCTTTTTTGGCGCCCGCGGGCGGATCAGGTGGATTCTCCAGCTGCACCTGATAACACACGCTTGTGTCATTCGTCTGGGTAGTAGGTGTACCCCCCCACACGCCGCTGTGCATCCCTCAATGCTAAGCCTATTTCTTGAGAGCTCTTAAAATTGTTTTAACTTCTACCTAAAATGTAAACCTCATCACTTCATCCTTTTTAATTTCACCTTTAGTAACTGACCCCTCATGCATTCCCTATTTTCCATGCTCCCCTTTTTGCCATACCCTTGTTTATAATTTTACACACTTGGACCAAGTTTGCGTCTCCAAGTTTACAATTAATTTTTTTTTTTGAATAACCCTAAACTTGAAAAGAAAAGAAGAAAAAAAAAAATAGTTGTTTTTTTCCAATTAGGGACTGTTATAGGGGAGGAACAGCAAAAATGGTCAGTGCCTTGTCTGCTTTTTGTCCCCACGGGTGTGTCAAACGAGAGACTCTTCTCTATGCGTGTTCAGCCCGTTGGCAGTATTTGCCCTGGGAAAGCAGAACAAAGGGGGTATTGAGCTGAGATGGAAAGAAGATAGGAAATGTCACAAACATGGGAAAGTAGTTTTCCGCGGTGGTTTCTTTCGCTTCTTCTTAATCGTTCCACTCATTCCGTCGCTTATGTTTGGTTCACTCCCTAATCGATGAAGCGGTTAATCTATTCATTCCTTTTTCGTTTTTTTTTTTTTTTTATATTTTTCTTATGATTTTTGCAGTGCTCATTGGTAGAAATAATTCGCAAAGAATTCCCCGTTGGCAGCACAAAGGAGTGTGCGATTGTACGGCTGTCCCTTACGTATATATACACTTGCGCACGCATACCTATCTATGTTCACGAGCGCACATGTACACGTGAAACTTCTCAAAGCAGAAATAGCAAAATAGGGGAAAAAAAGGATCCATCAAGTGATAAGAGATTCCCCCAACCGATGCCTAACCTATCTGGATATCCCATTCTATTTTATTTGATTCTATTTTATTTATTATTTTTTTTTTTGTTGTTCCTCTGTACTTTTGGCTACTTTACTAAAAAAAAAAAAAATGTGCAGAGTGAAATTAGAACATACATGGAAATTTCAAATGGACGAAGATGGAGGATGACTACAGGAAGGAGTTTTCGAGAAATCCAACAGAATCGCAACATAGTGAAGAACCAAATGAAGAATTTACCATTTATAAAATTAAAAATACCTTACGCACGTTAGACCAACCGATTGAGCAATATGGGATCGCAAATTATTTCTTGAACTATTACAACGGGGGTGATAACAATGAGGAGTGCAAAAGTGAGGGAAAATTCGGATCTCCCTCGGATGAGGTGCCGTCTCCTTGCCACAGTTTAGCAGATAGAGACGAGTTAAAAAATAGTGATCAGGGAAGCACCAATAGGGGGAGTCCTTGAACGATAAGCGGCGCGTCTAAAGATTTGGAAGGGCAAAGCGCCTATGAAGGAGGCAAAAATTCAGACAATAGCTATCGTGGCGAACCTCTCATTGAGGAACGCACCCGTTGTCTCAGCATGAACGGTGATTGGAGCAATCAGATGGGGAAGAACAAAACGGGGAAAGTATACAAAACCTGGAAGGGCAAGAAAAGACCCAGAGATCGCCCCCTCTCAAGTGTAAACCCTAATGTAACGACTATTCAACTTTTCCTAAAAGAAACGGTAACAGAAAATGAAGAAGTAAAATACAAATTAAACCTGCAAGAATTTTATGATTTCTTTTCCAGAATTGAAGAGGCCACTGTTGTGGGAATAATTCCCACGACGCGTTCCAAAGAGGAAGAAAAAGATGCCGATCTGGTCACCACCCATTTGGTTAATCTCGTCTGTCATGAGAACAATGAAGAGATTGACCTAAACCATTTCACCAAGAATTATTTAAAAAATAAAATGCTCCTCCAGAAAGCAGGAGGGAAGACGAGAAAAAGATGCAAATACTGTTATGGCATGTTAGCAATTGAGAAACTAAATTTTGTGATCAACAGGGACGGAAAAACATATGACGAAAATAATGACTTAGTAAATGTGCACTGTTTAGAACACGTCTTCCCATCGCATGTCAAGTGGGAACCTTCCCACTTTATTTATGTTCATATGTTATTTGCGTACAGTTTTATTTTCTCTAAAAAGGAAAGAATTTTATTCGTCGCAGTCGATTCGTGCAACGTGATCGGAAGGAAAAACTCAAACACGTCATCCCATTTCGGATTGGGCAAGTACAACTATGGGTCTTCTGCCAAGAAAGGGGAGACGCAAAGTTTGATAGACTATTTTCATCAGTTTGTTTATGCCTCCAATAGGTTTTACGAGAGGACGATGGGGATGGAAGTGGCCTTAGACGGGCAGAACAGAGGCAGAGAAGAAATTCCTACGAGGGGAACACCAGGGTGGGGTGCAAACAAAGAGGTAAAAGAAAAAAGCGAAGAAAGTGAAGGGAAGTTCCAAACTGGATGCCACGCCTTATGGGCATTATATAACGAGTTGCACACCTTGCGCGGTAGAAAGTGCGACAAAAACACACAATGGATGGAGACATGAATGGAAAAGGATTGCAAATTGGCCTATGATGAGGACATCCATTTGGGTATCCCCACAGAAGAGGCGCATAAACCGTACGGCCTTTTCCTCTACCACACAAAAGAGAGAAAAACAAACGAGAGGGGAAACTTCAACATGAGGGAAGTAAAAAACGAAAGGAACTACACACTTTACAAAATATATACCTTTTTATTTCTCCTGTGTGATGTAACTTTCTATGTCCAGAAGACGGCGATATCCTTTCACACTAGTGTGGACCACTTTTTTGCCAAAATTTTTAAGTTCATTCGTCACTTCGGAAATTGTTTCCGCCACGAGGGTAAGCAAGAAGAGGGGTAGCCCGCGAGCCACGCGTGTATTATGTGTTTACACCGTCATGGTATTATTGGTGATCCTAATTTGTGTGCATAAATTGTGGGTGCATAATTTGTGTGCCCCTAATCCGTGTGCTCATAATTTGTCTCCATTTGGGGGGACATAACATGTTGGCATTCCTCCATTGCTAATCGCCCCTCCCCCCCTCCGCAGAACCCATGGCCGAGCTCCACTTCGTCTACGTGGACAATGACACGAGGGACGTTATATACAAATATAACCACTGCGTCTGTTTAGTGAAAGGAAATAAAAACAGAGGGAAATGCAAGAACGGACAAAAAGGTGACAACAGACGAATGGGCGCAGAGGAGATCAATCAAAAGGAACAGAAAAACGAATAGGGGAAAATACAATGTCACCGAATTTAGGGGTAACAAGGTGCTGATTAATTCCCTGCCTTTTTTTCACCCTTGTCTAATGCATTTAGCTAGCACAAATGCGCACGCGTACAAGGCTGAAAACGCATTTGCGCATACGAACGCGAGGGCTGCCCCGAATCGCTATGAAGAGGTCTGCGTCTATGCTAACGCGAGGGCTTATGCAGACGAGACCCATTTTGTACAACGGAGGGGTACCAAATTGTCGCGAATTTGGGTATACACCCCTGCGATGAAAAGCGTCCGGTGGAGAGCCAAAATCTGCATCCCTTTATGACTAACACAGCTTTACAAAATGAAGAAAAAACTCGAAAATGACGAATATTTTGAATATAAAAAATTTGAAGCAGTGAAGGAAGACATTTTTGTCTACATGTATCTGACGCATAGTGAAGTTTTAATTCCCCAACACACTTTGTCACTGTTGACTTACCCCCCCTTTTTTTTTATATGTTCCAGAAGGCTACTGTGCGAAGTTAATAGTATATTAAGGCAAGACGAAAAAAGAAACGCAGAATTACTTCAACTTAAGAAGAGGAACTTACTCCATTGCAATCCTTTGGAAAAAAAACACTCCTATCATTTTTCCATCCATCTTGATATTTTTGGGACTTCAAATGGGTCCCCAGAAAATAAAAGCGTCATAAGTGAGTGTTCGGATGATGATCCATCTTCAACACGAGAGGGAAATAGTCTATCGGTGGACAAACGACTGACAGGTGACGAAACGGACGCGGAAAAAAGAAGTGCCGAAAAGGTAACGAACGATTCCATCAACTGTAAAAATCACTCGAAGCAGAAGTATGTCATCCTCCCACTTGAGCATTTTTACCCCTCCGAAGAGTTAAATAATTACAGAATTAGCATAGATTTTACGCACCTGGAGTATTGACGCCTGTCCGCTGCGAAGGGGGGATACCTTATGATGGCGGTCAAAAATGCATAGGAATTGGGGCACCGAACAGGCAAAACGAACATGTGGCGAATTGGACACTACAAGGAATACATTTCGCGAAGGAAAGCTTTTCCCTCGTTTGGAGGGGATCCCCAGATGATGCACGGAATAATATGTGTGATCAAAAGTGGCGTTACATCGGTTGTGTCTAACTACCCCAAAAGGAAAGGACGCGTGTGCATACCTTTGGGCAACTAAATCCGCCGCACACATCATGCGACATGTATCCATAGAAGATATATTTTTTTTTGTGTGTACATTTTAAAAAATATTCATGTGAGGAATTCCTAGGTGTGTGTCGCTGTGTTGTGTTGTTTTGGTTTTATTTCTATTTTTTTTTTTTTTTTTTTTTTCCACGCTTCATCGTAAAATTGCCAGTTGTTTTTTGTGCGTCATACGTTTACAACATGCAGTGCATGCATGGGGTATGTATCCGTTTGAGTGTTTTTTTTTTTGTTAACATTTGCTCATTTGTACCAACGCAGTTGTTCATAGACAAAGAAAATTTGCGCTCCAGTTGTGACGAAAGAATGTGCAGAGCGCCCATTGTGCTTGCGGACATATTTGACATCGCAGGCGTGTCAGTCGGGTCAGCAGCTGCCTTTGGCTGTTAGGAATTGCTGCAATTTTTGACCAATACAGGACAGGGGAGGTACTGCATATCGTCGCCGATATTTCCTCTCATATCGCCTCTCACACCACCGCTCACATCACCGCTCACATCACCGCTCACATCACCGCTCACATCACCGCTCATATCGCCGCTCCCCCCCCCTCGCAGACATGGAAAAACTGTTCAACTGCGAAATTTTGGACCAACCCACGCGATGCAAAGGGGTAAAGGAAGAAGAAGACGGTTGGGACGCCCCGGACGCAGCAGATGGCCAAAGTCTGGCGCTCCACAACTTCATAGACTACACTCAACTGTACAGAAAATACAAAGAGAAAAATGCAGCTAAGTGGGTTAACAAGCTGCCTGTGTCTCCATACCGATACCCCCCCAATTCTAAAAATGCCAATTTTGATGATATAAAAATGGAGTACCTATATGACGAAATAAATGCGCCCTTTTCGGGGGAGAAACTTTCCAAAGCAGCGGCAGATAGAGCGAAAAATAACCAAAACTGCTATGAAGGGGATTTAAAAATTTGGATTCCTCAAAATGAACAAGAGCGAGGAAAACAAGTGAAGGAAAAAAAAAGCCTGCGAAAAAAAATATACGACGGAGAAGTCATGTTCTATGAAGATTACGTGGAACAACAAGTAGCGAAGGATTACGAGCGATTTTTTAAAAAACCCTACCAAGTGAAGAGAAAAGACGAAGGAGGTAAGTACTATTTTTACGGGAAAAAATTAGACATGAACGAGCATGAAGATATATACAGAAAGTACTACAACTTGGATGATGAATTCTTTATAAGACGGATGAAACTGAAAGAGGAGATAAATAAAAAGAAAGAAACAAATGTGAAAGAAGAAAAAAAACACGAAGAAGAAAAAAAAAAATTCCAAAAGGAATATGCAAAATTAAGTTTTAAAGATCAAAACTTTATAGTAAAAATAAAAGAAGAAAATAATTTGGAAAGTTATCTAAGTACTTACAAATTTTACAAAAAAAATAAAAATATCTTTGAAAAAGATTTGCCCGAAATTGAAAAAAGAGAATTATTGTTTGGACAAATTCCTGATATCATTTTGCCTGCCAACGTTCGGAAAACAAAACACCCAAAAAATTGTTTAGTCCCTCTGAGTAGCCTACACACGTATGCAAATTTTATTGACGACCTTTTCAAGTGTCCCTATATCTACACCGCCATCGATGCCGAATTGGGAAAGTACTGGAAAACAAATGAAAACGAAGTTATAAATCATATCAAATCGGAGAAAATAAAAAAGGGCTACAAGAAGGACATCTATACAGTGAGCAGGGAGCACCTAGAAAGCTCCAGTGCCAAATTAAAAAATTTACTCGGCAGTGAGGACAAGGAAGGAAAAAAAGAGTCCAACGTTACTATAAACTTTAAGATACCAAAAAAGGAAAATCAAACGAAAACGGTGTGCAACGGGAGGTACGTCGTGTAGCAAGGAAGGAATATGGGATGATACAGGAAGGGGGAATTATATGCATTTTTTTTTTTTTTCCTTCTTTTTTCCCACAAATGGTATGTGCAAACGTTTGGACAATTACCCTTTTGAGGTGTCACTCCTGTATGTGCTTCTCGTCCCATTCGCTCCTGAGTTCCCCCCATTTGGGGCAAATTTTTTAAAAAACCCAAACCACACCAATTAGTCATTTATGCCTATGCAGAAGCATAACTGCGCAGGGGGTATAAAACGCATCCAAGCAGGTGCATTCACAGAATGGCACATGCTTCGTATGAAGTGATAGAAAATGCGACACACGATTTATAGCTGCGGGTATGCCTACGAGGAGGCACAGATGTACTTAACCTTCTGAATAATCGGGGAATACTCATAGGGAACACTTCACGGTTTACATTTCGAGGGGTGCCTTCTCCCCGCCGACGCGTAAAACAGGTGACCATGCATACCCAACGCAGTGTCTCCATAACGCCTAATTCGTCTTTGCACAGGTCAAATGGTAGCCATTTCGATTACTTGACCGATGCAACCGCTACGTTACAAAGTTGGGAATGTAGGAGGAGCGTGAAAAAGCAAATCATTCGACACAACGTAGCATCGTCTGTTGGGCGGCGGTGCTTGGGGAGGATCATCGCTTCGACCACTGCTTCATAGCCCTTGATTTTTTCCGTCCTGGCATTTTTGGAAATTTCTGCCTCATATCTTCGTACAGAATATGGTGCTGTTTAAGGTCGTCATAAATGTGTGGACAAGCGTTGAGTAGAGCTCGTCCTATGGCCAACCTAGCTGCTTTGGATTGCCCACTGATTCCACCGCCTTTCAATTTTATAAACACATCAAAAACGCAGGAAGTATTGGTGACATAAAAGGGTTCCAGTACATCCATTCGATTATAAAAATAAGGCCATCTAATGTAGAGATCTTCTTCATCATTTACCTTGACAATACCACTGCCTCTTTTTATATAAACATATGCAGACGATCTTTTGTTTGTCCCAATCCCTTCTGACTCCTCCAACCATTCCATATCATTATGGGTAAAAGTCTTTCCCCTTTTTTTATTAAACTTGTCAATAAGAATCTTGTTAATAAGATCTTCCTCACGATTCTGAGCAACATCATTCATTCTGTTGTTTTGCAAAGCGCCTTGGACTTCTCCCTGTTCACTCTCCTCATTGTTGTCTTGGCTTCCCTCTAACGCTTTCAACTTCTGATCAATTTGAGCTATTTCATCCGAATGGCTATCCCTCTTCGGACTAGACAAAAAATTGTCAATGAGGAATGGACTCATGTCCGGCGAAAAAGGCGGGGACCTCATCAGAATCCTTTGGATCTCCGTGGTCGTCTTAATCCCCATTTCCTTGGACAAATATAATGCTTCGTCCAGCGATAATATGTAATCCCGTTTGTTCCTTTTTTGTGTTACGGTTTCTTCATTCAGAGTAGAGGTCATGTTTATAAATCGGTTAGGAACCCTTATCGCGTTTCTCACGTTTCCATGTTTTAGAGTAATTTCTCTGAGCATCTTCCCTACAGCCATCATTCTTTACGTGCATGGTTTGATACTGTAATATGCACTTGTTGTAGAATAGTTGTTAAGACTTTGTGGCACACAACTACCTATTTGTTGTGCTGAGTTGTTAGGAAGTGTGCTTCCATTTTGATGGCGCCTTTTTTCTTCGAGAGGAGGGGAATTCCACGGCGTCTCTCTTGATAAGAGGGGGAAAGTGATACTGGTCACGAGGTGCGAAAAAAAGGGGTTACTCTACTATGTTGTATCACGAAACGTGTTATACCATTGCAATGTCGTGGAATTCTCACTTCATCCCGATTTAGCAAGCACACTCCAAAGTTGCGCTGTCGCAACTGCGTTACAGTACCACCTTACACAGCTACTTGGCTAAGCGTCCTCCTTTTTTTCTTTGCCCATTTTGAAATGTCCCCTATAATTCATAATTAACACTTTGTAATTTGCCTACTCCCCCACCTGTTTCGTGACGCATCCTACCGTTACTAAGGTTAAAGTGCCTTTTTTATTTTTTATACTACGGGAAGAGAGAAGTATCGGGGGAAAAAAAAGGGGCTCCCCAAAAGTGCTTACCAAATGGGACTACAAAAATAAACCAACTTAAAGCGGGAGGCATTTTCCCAAATTGCCGGTTTCCCAAACGGTGGCCGTGCGTTTTCACTCATGACATTTTTACAGAGCGCAGAGGTGCACGTAACGTGCTCACAGGTGTGTCCCTGGAACACATAGATATGCACTAGCCGTATGTTTTCTTAAAAATGGGAAACGATGACGCGTTTGAGAAGCGGTACTGCATAGTAGCGAGACAGTTACCTACAGGAGCCACGCAAATGGCATTATTATATATGCAAGACACCCTCGCGCGTGGGCACTGCCAGGGTGCGCTACACCTTTTTGCCGAGCGCCCCTAAATGAACCCATATAGGTGGAAACGAATGATCCATCGAAGAGGTACACTTTTGGTAGGGAAAGATATACCCAGTGAAACTTCAAACAAATTAAACTTTACCCCTTCTCGGCCTCTTGGCTAAGATCAATTTGTAGTACCTGTTCTTATCAGCGTGATAGCTGATATGGTCTCTATCGAGACCTTATCAATTTTCACAGTAATTTTTGATGGGGGAAAGGATAATTTGAAGCTTGCTTCATGTAACCTTTCGCGCGTTGTTTTACCCTAGCACTCATAGGTTTGTACAGTGCACCCCCTTTACAGTTATAACGAATCAAACTTTTTCACATATGGCGAGATTTAATTATAGTTTTATGGGTTCTCATCTAGTCAGTTGTTTTTTTCACCTTTCTTCGCTTTAAATAGGAAATAATTAAGAAAAGATTTTTATATTGTGAATTTTTCCCCAGTTCTTAGTAGCCTCTTTTTAACTGTACGAAGCGGAGCAAATTGGCTGGTTAGAAATGAAAGCTTTATTCTCATTTCATTCCCCCCACGGTTAACTGCTTAACTATGTTTTATGGCGTTATTTGCCTCGAAAGGGGCGACCTTAATTTAAGCAGCTTTTGGATGAATTTATTTCTTTAGCTTCCAATATCATGATACTTCCCTTAATAGAGGCTCTCATCGCCATAATAATTTATCGCGTGAAAGGTTCGTTATTCCTATTTTCCCCAATAGGCTGTAGCTATTTTGCTTGGTATATCATCTTACGTTATTTTTGACCCCTTGAAATGGTAGAAGTGGCGAGTTTTAGCATAACTCCGTTTGCCCATCCTGCCAAAAATAAATTATAAAGCGCACTAAGCACTGTTTAAGGGTTGCATATGACATACATATTCTGACTGCTCTTTTGACAGAGTATAATTTCTTGCCATGTTAGGTAGCATTATATATTTATACATATATGTGTTCTCTTTCTTCACCACGTCTTGGTCCCATGACGATGCCGCTGCCCGCTGCTATTTTGCTACTGCTCATTCTGGCTGTTCGTTTATTGGCAGGTTTAGTTACTAGGACTGAATAGGCTGCTTAAAGTTTGAGAGGCCATTACGATGGATTGAGGAACGTTGAACAGGGTTCGTTTTGCATACCGAGGCACGGCATGAATGCGTAAGTAGTAGTATATATGTTACACACACCTGTGCAGCGTGGTACGTATGCGGCGTGCTAATTAATTTCCCCCCGCACCCTTCCGTTCACCTCTGTGAGAGGAGGAAAAAGTTACCTCTTTATTAAAAGCTATTACGCGCTGTAGTTCGTAAATGCATATAATTCACCCCCGAGGGAGCTGAAAACAACGCGTGTTTGTAACAACGTAAAAAAAGCGCACAAAAAAATTAAAAAAAGAGAATAATCAATAGGGAAAGAAGTATGTGTGCACAATGTGTATATATGTGTATACCTAATTAAGGATCCTAAAAAATCATAATGAAAGAAGGAATATTAAAAAAAAAAAAAACGACCACGTCGTGGACGCTAGCAAGTGGAGTGAAAAAAAATGAATTGTAAGTGCCGCTTAACAAATTTTTATGAGTGTGGCGGCACATTGTCTAAAAAAAAAGAAGAAAAAATTACAACCACTGGTGTTGTGGTGCGTTTTTTTGCTATCAAAAAATTGCTTCCAATCGTCTCTTCTCCGCGTTTTTGCCGTTCCCTTGGGAACATGCAGCGGGGGGGGAAAAACATCTGTGCGAACAAATTTGCGCGAAAAAAAATGAACTCCAAAGTTTATTTCACCCATTTTTGGACCTTCGTCAGGGTAAGGATCGGTGCGGAGACGCGCTGCTCCATATGTCATGGCTCCTTATGTCATTGGCCCCTATTCCTGTCCCCCTATGGCATGCCCTCATATTTGCTCACTTCCATGAATCTTGCTTATCCGCATCCCACTCACACTTCTGGTCCACATTGTGAGTGGTCGGTTTGCCGCTGTTAGATTTCAAAAGGGGCATTTTTATGAATTCGCCGTAATTGTCCAAACTGAACTTTTTGAATTCCCTTTCCTTAACCGTACAAGTGTTTTGTGTCCCCATCACAGCGCTGAATCGGACGCTGTTTCTCATTTTTTCTACATGGGAACGTTTGGCCATTTCGAGTTCGTGGTTTCCGGTATTGTTTAAAATGTGGTGCTGCTCGATGGCACTGTTCCTCATCATATTGTCTTCATGGCTTTCATCGTCGCAGTATTCGCTTTCGCGCTTTCTCTTGATAAATAAAATCGTTCCGACGACTATCAAAATGAGTACCACAAAGAATAGCACTACGGAAATGACAAGGAACTTACTATTCATCTCGTACAAATTGTATAAGGCATTATCACAGATGTAAGAGAGCACTTCATCATGACCTGCTTCATTCTTATCGATTATTATTTGTTTTCCATTTACAGGAGACTCTTTAAAGTTTTCCGCTTCCGGATCAGTCACTATTCGGATAGGTATCCAAATTTCACTATAGGATTTGGAATTTTCCTCCGTAGGTATTACTGCTATAACTATGTCTGTTTCGTATATTCCTTTTTTATAGGCTGAGAATACGACAGGGATGTGTTTTTTCTTTCCTCTTTCCAAATTGAATTGTACAAAATGGCAGTCCATCTGCATCCACAGTCCTCCTAACAATGTTGTCAGGACAGCTCCTTCTGCATTTACCAGGCTGTCATTTATTGTTTTTCTGTTTCGCGTGATTACCTTGATAGACGTCCTCGTCAATATATCTAACACTTCTTCTGCGGAGGGGATGAACCCTTGATTGTAACACACTGAGTAGACTAAGGCACTGACTCCGCACACATGCGGGGCCGCCATCGAGGTGCCCGTATTTATTTTGTACGAATTGTTTGGCGTGGTGGAGTATATGTGGTGGCCGGGTGCCATGATGTGTACACTCTTCTCTCCGTAGTTTGAGAAGGGAGAAATTTCGAAGTTCTTGCTGATGGAGGCGACGCTGCACGGGGAGGTTGGAAGCAGTGGAGGGATGTCAAACGGGTTGTTACGCGGAGAATAAATGGGACGAAGTGTGAAGGCACAGAAACGGGTGAGCATAAATCGGAACAATTGTGAAGGCACAGAAACGAGTAAGCATAAATGGGAACAATTGTGAAGGCACAGAAAAAGGGGCGCATAGATGGGAAGTGATAGAAGGTATTGCAAAGACAAGGTCAGCCTTCGCCCAGCCTGTGAGGCGTACCTGTACACGTGGGGCAACTTAAAACTTGAAGGGTACAAAGGGTGCTCGTCGTTGTTCTTGTTCTCGTTGCCGGCGGCCGTGACTAGCACGGTGCCCTTCCCGTTGAAGGTATATTTCAGCCTTTGCACAGCACGGTGAATATTGGCATCGTACTTGCTAGACCCCCAACTGACATTGATGATCGGCGCTTTAATTAAAATGCAAACGTTAATGGCTTTAATGGCGTGGAAACTTCCTCCATACTTTTCTCCATCGATAAACCTTAACGATATTAAAGTAACATTGGGGGCCACACCGACCATGCCTAAATCATTGGCTACTCCACCGATAATTCCTGTGACATGTGTCCCATGTCCGGAAGAATCTGTTGGGTTCTTCACCATAAAGTCGTAAAACTCTCTCGTCATTTCGTATTGTGTGGAGTATTCCGGAATGTAGACATTTTTCATTAAGTCGATGTGATTCTTATCGATCCCAGAGTCTATTATGCACACCTTCACATTTTTGTTCCCATAGCCTGCTAGAAACCAGGCATTAAATACTCGGATGATTGAGAGGTTCCACGTGGAATACTCTCTTAACTCTTTCGGTAAGAAGTTTAGAATTTCCTTTTCGATTTCCTTCTTCGTTTTTCTCTTTCTTCTAGCGAATTCACTGATTGACTGGATACTCCAGAATTTGCGCACAAAGGAGTAGTTACCATTGTACAGGTTTTTTTTCTTCTTGACGAATTTTCTGGTCCCCTTGTGTGTGGGGCCATCTGCGTGGTGGGCTTCGTGATCGTCTGCGTCGTCGTCTGCGTTATCGTCTGCGTTGTCTCCTGCGTGATCTCCTGCGTCATCCTCTGCGTCTTCTCCTGTGTCATTCCCTCCGTGGCTGTCTACATGCCTGTCTATCTGTCCATCTTTGTGACTACCATTAGTCCCATCCGCCGAAGCGGCACTTTGGCCAATAACCCCGCCCCCCACGTGCGGCGCGTCCAACGTCACGTAGGTATTGGAAAAGCTCCAGTTCTCCATGTAGCCCTCCAGCTCCCTCTGCAATATGATCAGCGCCTCCCTCAACAAGTGAAAATTATTCATGTCAAAAACGGTTGGAACAAAAAAACACAGAAAGTTGATTGGCGACGAGACATCATACACTATTTTGTCCACTTGATGGAAGTTTCTCTTTATGTGCTCCTCAAATTTCTCGCTGCTTCTTTTGATAACCGTTTTCATGTGTGATGAGTGCAAATCTAAGTCTCCTCTCAGGACGAATATTAGCTCCTGCTTCTCGGGGGTGCTGTTTTTCAGATTTAATAGATACTGGTCCACCAGCTTGTCGGCACTCAAAAATTCATTCAAGTTGTCTGTATGGTCATGGGGGTCGCCTCCACCGTTAGAGTTTTCTTTATTGTCCCCATCATCGCCATCCCTTCCGCTATTGTCCTTCGATTCACCCGTGCCAGTGGAAGGCTCATCTTGATTCCACCTCAACGTTAAAAAGCTGAAAAGGCGCTTTATCGTTCCCCGTATGGCACCGCCACCGCTGCGACCAGCAGTACTAGCAGCAGTACCACCAGCTGTGTGCCTCTCCACATTGACATTTCCGGTCCCGCTGGGAGTTCCCCTCTCTCGGCCGCTGCCCCCCCTGTTGCCCCGATAGGCCTTACCAAAATCGAGTGTCCCTTTGCCCGCATACAAATTCGTTTGGTCACTATCTTCTTCATACTCATCGTCTGGTGTCTCCTTCTTTTCCATCCCCTCCCTTTCAATGAATGTATTGGTGGCAGCCTTCTGACGCCATTCATCCTCCAATTCGATAAACTTCGAATTTTTTGTCATCAGAACAACTCTATATTTTTTATTCCCCTTGTTCGTTACGACTATGTGTCTCTGGTGCGTGAAGGAAGTTTTGTTCTCTTCGCTGTAAGGTATGTTTATGCTTCCAATACTCAGCTTGGAAATGTCTGACGCGTCAACACTGATGTCGTTAAGGACATCTTTCGAGTTTGTGACGATTGTGTAGTGGTCAAATTTTTGTGTTATGATGTCTTCTTGTGGCACATTTTCTGATTCATATAGTCGGTATTCCTCCCCCTTCCCCTCTTCTTCTTCCTCCTCCTCTACTTCTTCTTCCTCATCATCCTCCTCTTTTTCCTCCTTACCGGCTGCACTCGCTTTTTCCGCATTATCATCCTGGGGAGAATGAACCTTCGGGCTTCCTCCCTCATTCGACTTTTCCGTTTCTTCCCCTTCCTCTTTGCTAAACATTAGAATTTTCTCATTCTTTCTTTCTTGCCCTTTGGACTTGTCGTCCCCTTTTAATGCTGCCATTTCGATGCCGTCTCCTAGATTATTACCACCTTCTTGGGGTGACTCACCTCCAGGGGAGGATTCACTAGGATTGCTCTGTCTTCCTTCCTTCTCTCTACTAATCGACTTCGACCCTTCTTCGCTCATCGATTTGCGGCCAGTTTGTTCGTCGGATTCCTCAGGTTGTACCTTCTCCTGCGGCTTCTCCGTCTCTTTTTCTTTTTTCTTTTCTTCTACTTCTACTTCTTCTTCTACTTCTACTTCTTCTTCCTCCTGCTCGTGTTCTCCCAAATTGTCAAAATCTTCTATATTCCCTTTGTTAATTAATTTTCTAAACGTATTTGGTTCTGTCTCTACAGCCCTTTCTGCATTTCCTTTTCCATTTGATTTTTCATCATTGGGCATCTGTATTAAATTATCAGCAGTTTCGTCTATGCTTGTTGATTTTCCATTGTTTGCTTCATGAATTGGCACGTCTTTGGATTTTCCTTTTTGAATATCTTCACTCCCATCATGTTGTGCATCGGACAATCCGATTGGGTTTAAGCGGGGTGTGTCTTTGTTATCCCCCCCCGTTATATGCTCATTTTTTTTTTTTTTTTTTTTTTTTTTTTTTTTTTTTTTTTTTTTTTTTTTTTTTTTTTTTTCTTCTTTTTCCTTTCTGTTTCTCCTTGGCATTTCTTAATTTTTCGAACTTGGCTGACAATTCGTACACGTCAAACAGCGGTTTGTAGCTTCCTTTAATTTCATCCAAAAAGTTTATTCGACCTGTTGTATTGTCTGATAAAATGCGACTTCCTGTCTTCACCAATTTGACGTTATAATTGGCCAACTGGTCTAAAATATTTTTCCCATGCCAGTCATTTTGAAATAAAATATTCATGATGATTAGTGGCAGCACATAACGTGACCTGATCATTTTATGGACAAATTAGAAAAAAAAAAGTGCACAAAAAAAAAAAAAAAGGGAGGATGGAAGAGGGAAATAAAAGTCTAATTACATTTTCAGGGGTCTCTTCTTTGATTTAGAACAAAATTAACATTCACTCCTGTTATAACGGTTCATGCGCTATAGGTGGAGTAAACTCGTATACATATATGGATGTACGTATATATTTATTCGCATTCCGGTGTCCGCACAGGGGGGGAGGGGGTAGAACTAGATACAAATGGGCGAAATATCACCACTCAGCGGAAGCTCACGACGTATGCAGACGCAGGTCTTTACAACTACACAGGGAATGTAAATTAATGGCGTTCACGAGAAATCATAACACAAAGGTGTACCCACATTCCGATGTGAAAAATTGAGTATAGACCGTTACTAAGTCTCCCCACTTGAGAAAAAAGATGCAGTGGGGAAAAGTTGCGAACGGTCGTACGGCACAAATCGCGTAAACAGCGCAAATCGCGCGAATGTGGAAAAAACGGGCGAATATGAAAAACGTGAAAGGAGAAAAACTTAGAAAGTGAACACGTGAAAAACTGAAACAAACAAAAAAAAGGAAGCGTGCAAATGCACTTGTACAGAGCGGACTGGCAGAGGCGTAGCCCTTTAAAATGTGTTTTCCACTATGACCCTAACTGCCCGCGTGGGCGAAGCGGTGATGTAGATGGGCGTCCGCGCACGTAGGTGTACATAAGCACATAGGTACATTTCCCCATCCGCTTATTTACACATTTTCCCAAAGGCACACTCGCGTGAGCAGTACACACGCTGTTACTATTGCTCGCGATAAAGTGTGTTTCGCTGGTGTGTGTAAAATGGTCTCTACTGCTAGTTGAGCATTTTCACTCGCAAAAAAAAAAAAAAGCGTTTCAATAAAAATAATTCAACTTATTCAAAAGAAAGCACACATGGTACAAGCTTCCTCTTCTGTAATATTTAATTCTTTTTTTTTTGTCAAAATTTGTGGCCCATATAGATTCCAATCGTTTTGTTGTAAAGCATTTTTAAGCAGGTAAAAATTTGAGAAAAAGAACTTGAGCTCCTGTGCTGCTCGTGGGGGATAAAAACATCACAAGAGTAAAAAGGGAAAAACGGGAAAAAAAACGACTCCTCAAAATACTTCAAACGTGAGTAATAAGGTTTTTCTCAATGTTCCCCACGTGTTCTATGTTTCTTAAAATGTACATAATGACATGTGTACATGTATATATATATTTTTTTTTTTTTGTGCTTAAAGTGAACCATTCCGGGAGATCGAAAATAGTCAACAGAAGGGAAAAAATTGTCACATTTGGAAAAAATTTCATCAATTATTCCAAATAAGCCTTTTAATTTTTTTCTTTTTCACTCTTTGGCATTCTTCTCTTTACAAGTTTTTTTTTAACACACATTTATAAGCACATACGTGTAAGTCTCCCATTTTTTACAAAAAAAATGGGGAACTTTTTAATTTTTCCGGAGAACAAATCACACAACTGTTGCCTCGCGGCTCTATAGCAACCCATGCTTTTTGTTTTTTCACATGAAAATTCAAGTGCCGAGGGAGAATTGGAATAAGGTGCATAAGAAGCGGAAAAAAGTAAAAAACAGTCGCAAAAGCGTCTCAAACGAGTCCAAAAAGCGTAGCAAACGAGTAGCAAACGAGTCGTAAACAAGCCGAAAACGAGTTGCAGAACTGTGAGAGTGCCTAGAAGTTGTAAATTTTGTAAAATTCCCAAAAAATGGTCGAAAAAAAAAGGGCAAAAATATTAAAAAAAGAAAAAGCAGTGATCTAGAAATTGCGCAACTTTAAAACCTTTCAAACTTTTTTCACTTCGCTAAGTTGAGAACTTTCGAACTTCTTCAAGAAGGAAGGAAAAACAAGTTGCTTTGTGATGGGGCAAATTTTCCTTTTTGCGCAATTTTTCCGCTAAAATGGCGGATTTAAGTGTAACCTTTTGGGTGTCATATTCTGGAAATTTGGGAAAAAAAAGGAAAAAGTTGACGAGAAGGTAGCGCAAAATTTACCCATAAGTTAAGCAAAAGTTACGCAAATTTTACCAAAAAGGTACGCAGAATTCACTATAATATAAGGGAACCTTTGGGACCATTTAGGGAAATTTTTTCCATTCACGATCTCCGTCGTTGCAACTGCTGTAGATCCAGCTGTGCAAAAATGTTTCCCATGCACCCTCCATTCGCAGCCAACGCGCACTCAACTTATCAATTTCTGCCATTCTTATCCGACGAAGTACATTCACTACTAATCGTCAATGCTTCTTTGAACATTTTTGTTCCCATTTCAATGCGACTAATCTAGTGAAGGCTTTGAATTGTTCATTCTGGAAAGAAGAAAAAAAAAAAAAAAGTAACTCTCACGAATGGGTCCCTGCGCAAAAAAGCAGGATTCAAAAAACATAACATGCAAAATGGTTGTTAAAAATTGAGTTTACCTCTCATTTATTTACTCTTAAAAAAAAAAAAGAAAAACATTTAATGGTATAACTCCCCGTTGGGGAAAAAATACAAATGATGTTTACACATCGCAACGTCATTTTTGAGCAAACTTTTCCTTACAAAATGGTCAGAAAGAATGGATAGTCCAAAATACTGCCCATTACAAAATTTAGGTTAGCGCAAAATATTCTGCGACATAGAATTTTACTGCCTTTAAAATGTTCCTAAAAACATTTTTTGATTTTTATAAAATGGCGAAATTTTTTAACACAAAAAAGTTCCACAAAAAGTTTTTTCTTTCCTTTTCACGAATTACTTATGTCAAATGGATGGACCCCCAATGGGGGGCAAAATAACCTCCTTTTTTTTTCTTCCATTGTTCCATGCCTTTTCCATTTCAATTTTCACCTGCACAAATCGAAACGTTCTACGGAAGGGGGAACAACAATAGCCAAATAAGAAAAGGTGTGTAAAAATACATACTAAAGTAACACACACACAGGGGTGGGCGTCTTCCACTCTGTCCTGACAAACAGGTAGCACATAAGTGTGCAACATTTCGTCCTATGTGCTAGGTATTTTCCTTATCCACAAATGTATACATATTGCTACACAGATCGAGGGGACTACACAACAGGGTGAGTAACAACTCCACCAACTCAGACTCGCGGCGGATTTCCACATCAGGACGTACGTCCAGGGGTACAACGACATTGCGAACATACGCAACTTATTATATGGCCTTTTCCCTTTATTTAACGTTTACCATGTATGAATTTGTCCTGCACCCTTTCCTCTATTTCGCGCCTTTGCAGTGCTGTTCACTAGGCTATTCGGTTACATGGACCATCCGTCCATTCCGTTGGCGCATCCAAATGGGTGTTCCCCACAGAATAAAGCAAAGAGGGGTATTCGCCCAAAATATGCCACCCCAATATGTACCTAGCTTAGCTTATTTTGTATACGTATGGGCAAACGTACATTTCCCTTTTTTTTACTTTCCCTTCAAAGGTCAAAATTTTGTGCGTTCCTTTTTTTAATACCCCATTTTTGCCTTCTGAAAAAAATAAATAGAACTCCCGAGTTATTTGTCGCTTAACATTTTATTTTTTATTGCAAACCAGCTAAGTGATAAGTTAATACCAAATTTGAAACACTGAATAAAGGAAAGATTAAGAGTAAAAAAAAAAAAAGAAAGAAAGGTAGCAAGAAAGCATGAATGAATGGTTATATTAGCGAAGAAGCAAGCACTACTACTTTTGCTCGTGAGGGGAAAGGAAATTATCAAAAGTAAAGCAGCCAGCTGATTTTTTTTTCTAAGCTGAAAGGGCACTTTTTTTTTTTTTTTTTTTTCCTTCTTTGAAAAATATTTCATTTTCCTGATTCGTTCGTAAGCTTATCTCTGCGTAGAGAAGTCACAAACGTGACGTATGCGAGAATTACATCCGCATGTTGGGTTATGTTCCTGTATGTAAATTCATGCGTTTACGCGATTGTGGTGCCATGCTACTGGTACATTTTTATTCGTTTTGTTAGCCAGGGTACTTTTTCCCATTTTTACGTGTAATGCCGATATTCCTTTATTTTTTTCTTCTCCTCATTTAATGTGATCATTTATATCAAAGAAACAGAAATCCTTCAAACAGAAGTAGCCAATTTTGCTGCTCTGCTGTGTTAACCCATCCGGAAGATACAGATAATTGGAACAAATATGATGAACCATACGTACTTATATTTTTGAGGCCCCGCACAAATGAGGGGGAACCTCAGGTGAAGAATCCCTTCAATACGATACAAAACAAAGGAAGGATTTTCCAGCTCGTATATTTTAAAATCCCCTCATCTTATCTGTATATTAATCCTGATATCTTCTTGAATGAGTAACAGAGGAATGCTTCTTCCCCCCTTTTTTTTTTTTTTTTCTCGTCACCCACAAATGTATACCATATAAGTATACACAGAATAGCAACAAAGGAAAAGAAATATATATACTTTTACGTACATGCACAGAATAGCTGCTACCGAAGGACATAATGCCTTGCAACATAAAGACATCGTCCTAGGGAACTTTTAATATGCGCACAAGGGAGGACGTATATACGTACATATGCACTTGCGCACATGCTTATACGCTTGTCCAGAAGAAGAGACAACCAATTTGTGACCCACCAGGTGGAGAGAGCATTTTCCTCAAAAGGGAATATACAAAGTGGGCTTATCCCCCCAAAGGAAGAACAGTCAAAAGGAAGAGGAAAAAAAAAAAAAAAAAACTTGGGAACCGCTTTTCCCATGCTTGTACCGCTTACCCAGATTGGCACAGTTATCCCCTCTCATGTATACTCAACGCATAAACGCCCCACTTTGCTCTTTCCCCCCGTACTCACACACAGAATCCCGTTGACATATAGCACACATGCTAATGTCATTTCTCATGTTCCCATGATTTTATTTCGTTAAATTATGATCGGTCGGATGGTAAAATTGGAAAAAGGGACATCTACATATACACATTCACCGGAGTATGTCCATACAGGTCCATTCGTAGGGGCGAATTTTCCCGAAGGTGTAACAAAAAGCGCAACGTAGTATAAGGAACTTTTGGAGAGGACAGCATACGGAGGACAAAGGCGTGGAACTAACCGAAAGAGAAGCTGCTAATAGGTTGTCTGATCCGTGAGTTGGTGAGTCATAACATTGATTAAGCGGCAGGCGATTAAGTAAAAGGAGACTATCGGGAGAGCCTCCACCCCGTCGCGACGAGCAAAATGATAGGGAACAAAGAAGATGCGTACGAATGTTTCAACCTGGCTAACCGATACCTGAAGGCGGGGAATTACAGCCAGGCGAAGAACTTCTTTCTCAAATCCAAGCGCATGTTCCCCGATATTGACATTAGTGAGCAAGTGAAAATATGCGAAGAGGAATTAAGGAAGAGGGAAAACGCCTCAGCACAGAGCAATGCAAACCACGCCAATGGAAACAGCCATAACAGCAGCAACAACAGTGGTAATTGCAACGGCACAACGTACCGACCCAATCATAACAACTTGCATGAACGCCATCATAGGGAAAAGGATGACGGCATAGAAAAAATATTGAGGACAAACAATTATTACGAAATTTTGGGCATTCCAAAAAACAGTAATGATGAAGCGATTAGAGGTGCATATAAAAAACTGGCAAAGTTATATCACCCGGATAAGAACAAAGAAAAAGGAGCGGAAGAGGCTTTCAAAAGAGTTTCGATTGCCTTTCAACATTTAATAAATAAAGAAAAAAGACATGAATATGACAACAATTCAGAAACGGATCATTCACACCATCATCCAACGTATAGAACCACGCATTATTATTATAATGATGATATGTTTACGCCTGAAGATATTTTTCGTAATTTTTTTGGCATCAATTTTGCCACGTGTAATAATAGGACCTTCAGGACCAATACCAACAACAACAGGGCCTATGCAAATAGTAACAATAGTGCCAGTGCCAATAGCCAACGGACTTATTCCTTCGTTCAAATCGCTATATTTTTAATGATGTTTGTTATTTTTTTCTTATCAAGTCATTTCGAGCAGCCCAAGGTAAAAGCCCATTTCGCCCATTTCACCCATTTTTTATCGCGCTCCTCTGTTCTGTACTCTACGAAAAGAAAAGCCCAAACGAAAGTGAAAAAAAAAAAATTATGAACAGGTCAGCTAATTTTAACATTTTACCATCATTTTATCGTGATTTTTTTTTTTTTTTTATTATTTCTTCCCGTGTAGGCTGTCTACTCGCTCAAAAAAACGGGCTATTTTGACACTCTAAATTACACTTCGTTGAACAAAATACGGTTTTACACAAAAAGGACATTTAATTATAATTACCCGAAGAATAGCCATCCGCGTTTTCAAGTAAGTTTTCCGCATTGTGGAGCGCTTCCGGATAGTCATTTCATTAGTTACACTGTGCGAACATTTTGTGTCTCCTCCCCACCGCCCCTATCGCAGATCGAGTACGAAGTTGAGTACAAATATTACGAGCATGAATGTCACGTGTTAACGAAGAAAATAAAAAATGATTACTACCGAGAAAAAAACCAATACCGTAATGCGATTTTTATATGCGCCTCTTTTTTTTTCGTTATTCCATATATAGTGAAAAGCGTTGTCATGGGTAGTCTAGTGCACTTTTTATATGTCCATATACGTCGGCCTACTCATACTATACACCTCTTTTGTGTGTCCTTCCACTGTGATAAAACAGTTTGGTTACCCTTTTTTATTTTATCTTTTTTTTTTTTTCATTTTTTATCAGAAAAGAAAATAAATTACAACGAAATTCCGGAAAGCTGTATGAAGTTGAAAACGCTAGAGGTAATTTCCTGCCCCAACTGTGTCGCGTGATTTAGAGGTGTCATGCGTACGGATGTACCTGTACGCCTGCCTACACGCGTACTATTCACTTCTGTCTATATGCGACTCATAGCAGCACGCGAACATTTATCCACGCCTTTTTTTTCCCATATCACAGGACCAATACAACAACTACATCATGAAGTTAAAAAGGCGCTAGCAGAAAATGCACACACGTGATGAATTCACCTTTTAAATTCAAGACACCCTGTTTGAATAAATAAAATAAAAATGATAAACAATTTCTCCCCTCTTTTGATTTTAACATTTCAGAATGCTAAACCCTTTCCTTCTTGTTTCAAATAACCCCCCCAACTCCTCTTTTGTGAAATAATATTTTAAAGCGACACAAAATTGTCCCTATTTAATTATAACACACCATGGTGTATAAGGACAACCCCATTCCCCTCGCCCTTCCGTGTTTCCCAGACTTATGCATTTCAGACGCAGTTGTTAATGGGCGCACACGAATGGTTTACCCCATAGGGTTTATGCCTTCCCAGGCACGTGTCTTTCGCGATCAGTAGTTCTACAATTTTTACGTTAGTACGTTATTACACCATTACGTTTTGCCTGCTGCTTCGCATTCCTTTCCCCCCCTGCCCATTCCACACATCTCACTTTTTTCGTTTATCTATTTGTAGTTTTAACCTTCCCCTTTTTTTTTAAAAAAATTCAATCTAATTAGATGAGTATGCTTAAAAATTGTATAGCCACATTCATATGCACAAGTATGTATTGTATGCATATACATATAAGTGTATAAATGTATAACTGCCCTCCCCCCGCCTCCTGCATACATATTTCTTCGTATGTATGCGTACATACGTGCGTACATCCAAAATGGGAATGGTTTAAGGTGCACATCGTAGACCATCCATCCATTTGTGTAACGCGCTTCCACCTTAGTGTGTGAAATATATTTATTTTATACCCCTCTCCCTCCTGTGCCTTCCGCGCATATAATTACATACCTTATCCATCTTTGTTGAAATTGTTGCATTTTTTCTGCACATAAGATGTGAAGCTCCTCTTCTTTCTTCTTCTCCTTTTCTCCTGTTTTTTTTAAATCGTTCATGTGGCGTAAGTTTTTTGCGCTTGTACTTTTTTTTTTTTTTTTAATTTTTTTCCTAGCCATTGGCAACATTTTCGTGTGTGCAAGCTCATGTACAGACAGCGCGCGCATAGTACATATAAATATGTTCATATATATTTGCGTACCTATGTATCTACTTATATATGTATTATATATACCCCTGCGCACGCATGAATGTACGGCGCTATGCCGCACCGTAATTTTTATAGTAATACACCATAATCAAAATATGAAGAATAATTAATTAGCACTTATTTTTAGGTAGACGTACACAACAAAGGGGTGTAGCGATAGGGCAAAGGATACGGACGCTGCGCACTTTGTAGTGGCCCTAGCTGTTGTGGTTGGTCGGTGCTCTTTCCGTCCTCGCTCCGTTATTTGTCCTATCCCCAGACGTTACACATCCCAACTTTTCTACTTTTACAGAGTTGATGTTTTTGCACCACGCATCGCGCCTGTATGTGTGTGCAGGTAGTTCGATATGTGTCTCCCCTAGATGGAGACTCCCATTGGGTGATCGCTCGACAAGCTAGTACCTCCAACACCGCTAACTCTGCTAAAGCTCTCTCCCCCCGGCGCCTTGCGTGCTGTACGTATTTATTGCTCTATGCTGTCGGACGTATGGGACGAGTACTCATCATTGCTGTTGTGGTACATTTTGTCCGTCTCGTACAATTCCTTCTCTTCTTTTTTTATTATGTCTTTGATGTACTCATAACCAAATTCTTCGTGATTATTGGACGACCAAAGTGTCATATGGTTTGGATTCTCTCTATCAACGTTTATGTTTTTTCCCCCTCCGGGGAAATTCCTACTCTCTTCCGCCTTTCCCATTTCGTTACGGATAAAAGCGCCATTCTCAGCGGCACCATTTATTTTTTTCTTATTTTTGTTCTTGGATATGACTTCCTTTATCTTACTGCTATACGCATTGTTTTCGTTCCTCGCTGATTTGACGTAGTAGATTTTCTCGCTTCGCTCGTCCCCCTTTTTTTTTTTTTTCTTTTTGTTACTCGATTTATTCGTCGAGTCATGCGTATAATTGGCGAAATTTAAATAAATTACTATTTCGTACATACACACCAATATAGCGTTAAAGAAGTTAGCGTTTAGGCCTTTTAATATCACGCTTTTTTTTTTGTCTTTGCCCTTCACTTTGCTGAAAATGTGGATGCTTTTAACGTCGTACATAAAATAGGCATTCTCCAGATCGTAGAAGCTGCATGTTGATGCACAAAAAAGAGGGATTGCATGTAGGTTCAACCGCTTGAGAAATACAGAACGAGAGCGTACGTGCATTCGCCCGTGCAGAGGGATACCGAGGGGTATGAACACATTCTTGCATTTTTAGAAATACGACCCCCTTTGGTATGCGATATTTACCTGAACGTTCGTAGCACATTGGGGGTAACTCCCTTTACAGCGGCCTGGTACGTGTGAGAGTACACCGTTAAGAAGTTGTCTACAGGGGTGAATTAGCAAATGGAATTTGAGCATCATACCCGTCCTATAGACAGTTATACTATCCATGCAAAACTGGGTTCACCAAATGGAGCGAAATAGGTGAAAAGCAAAGATGCAGGCATACGTCCATTCTGTACATGCATAGGTATAGTTATTCAAAAGAATGCTATCACTTTTTATGATTACGTAGGAGTTGTACCTATATTTGTGCCATCTAAGACCATGTAATTCAGCTTTTTCTGTTTATAACTTTGGAAGATATTTTTAATGAGTAACCCATTGCAACCTGTCGAACAAGAAATGGGGGAAATTTTGAGTCATTTCTCTCACCGCGCAAAATTATTTAAATGGTGCATACAAGATATTTTAGAGTAGCACACAGGACGCAATGTCTCTATTTTGCTTAAACATACAAGCATTTATTTTTTACACTCTTGTTCATACCTTCTTTTCCTATATCCCAAGCTTTCTTATAGGATAAGTTTATCTTATCAATTTCGGGAACATTGTTTCCTAAGGGTTGCCACTGAATATTGGTTACTCTCCTGACACACGGGATGGATGCATAGTGTTACATATATACGGTGTTGCATTTGGAAGTGACTTAACCTTTTCTACGTGAGCAGAAGCTCGCGCGGGATCCATCCTTTTCTTGTATACAAACGAGCAGTTCTCTGAACACAAGAAATGTCGAATTATGTCGGGGCATTTGCCGAGGAGATTTAAAGGGAACTTACTTTGGTTTATCTTTGTCGGGGGGAACTCGTCCATATGCCTTAAGCGGGAAGTTCTCAGCGCTTTCGGGGGTACAAAGGGGGAGTGAATTAAGCAGGGTTGGTGGTTAATTTGGTACAGCATTTTTTGGCTGTTTCTTTGGCCTTTTTTTTTGGTTATTTTTTTGTCTGTTTTTTTGTCTGTTTTTTTGGTTATTTTTTTGGCTTTTTTTTTGGCTATTTTTTTGGCTATTTTTTTGGCTATTTTTTTGGCTGTTTTTTTTTTTTTTCCTAACCTGCTCATATTATTTATGTAGCTAACTGTGTAGCATTTTTTATACTTTTTCTCCTTTTTCAGCTTGAAATTATTACTTACGTAGGATAATATGGGGATGTTTTCTTCATCCGCGGAACACGAGTTGCCAAATCTCGAATTTTGACTTTCATTTGAATAGTGGAAATTGGATTCAGCAGAATTTTCCAAAAATTCGTACACATCTTTGTATGATTCCACGCTTGTGGCACAGTCATTATCTTGTACTAAAAAATAGGTCAAGGAGGACAACCGTGTTATTTTTGCACAAGAAGAATGGGGAAAAAAAAAAGGCAAATTAACGCCTCTTTGCACAAGCGTGTGGATGTATAGACGTACTCATATCGTTGTAGGACACAAAAACTTCATCCATGTTTTCGTCGATTAATCAGTCGACAGGTTGTTCTTTCATTCATCCATTAATGCGGGTAGCGACGGCCAACGAGAAAGAGGAAGGAAGGAATCCGAACATGTAAGCGGCGTTAATAGGCACTTTCTGTATGCACGTATATGCACAAGCACCCGTTCATATACAACTGTAAGGACGCGACGCGGAGGGATTTTGAAAAGGTCACAGCTGCCTTGTTGCTCGTTGGCTCCTTCCCCTTTGTTACGTTAAGGGTGTCATTTTTTAAAAAGTTCCTTTTCGAGGGGTAAACGTTTTTATGAAAAAAAAAGTTAATTAGGTAAATGAATAGGTAACGAATAGGCTACGAATAGGTAACGCATATGCAACGAGTTTGCAACGAATGAGCAACCGAATGGGCAACGATTAAACAACGATTAAAAAAAAGGGGTCCATAAAAATAGGGAAACAAATAAAAACACTTGAGCGAAATGAAGAGGCGCACTTAAAACAAATTTACATAAAATTCTGATAATATAAACCAAACATGATTTGTTTTTTATTTTTAACTGCGCACAAACTATTCCTCCGCAATTCCCCATATGAAGTGGTATTCGATTTCTTTTCCGGTTAGCAATTTCATGCCGACAGGCAATGGTAAAAGCGAATACACGTTCAAATGGGTAAAAAAAGTATGCAGTTGGGGCGGTTTTCCGTTAGGGTTACCACCTTTTTCACCCACGTGTGCGCGGTTCACGTGGTGCTGTTCGCATACGGGGACACATACATGTACGTTGGGAAAGATGCATGTAAATATGTACACACATTGGTCTCCCATAATTTGTACTCAAAGAAGGAAAAAAAAAAAAAAGAAAAAAAATTCAACATTTTAACTTTTCTTTACAACTACCGCGGACGCGCATACACGTACGGCTGTACGCATAAGTACGCCCTCCGCGCGTGCGTCTAATGCTGAATGGGGCATTCTGCATGATGAGACCATTCCTGACAACACGTGTTTTTTTTATTTTATTTTATCTATTTTATTTTTTTTTTTTTGCAGTGCGGCAAAACATTTCCCTCTGCAGTACTTTCACTTCATGATGGTTCCATCTTGATAATTTAAAATTTCGTCATTGTCCGAAATTTGGTTTTTTCTAATATGGTCGATGGTAACATCAATTCTGTTTATAACATGTTTTATTATACATTCATTCTTCAAATTGTTTTCCGCGATAAGAGATATCTTGGTCACCAGTCTACGATGCTTCCTTCCCTTCAGCGTGTCTTTATACTCTTTACATATGGCTTTAATCCAGAAAAAAAAAGTGTTTAGAAAAAATCTATTCCTTGCTAGAGAATTTAAAAGAAGCTCTAATAATTTTATGGAATATTTTTTTCCCAAATTGACAACTGTATCTCTGATCAATTTCTTGCCCTTTACATTGACCAACATAATTATCTTATGGTATCTTCCTAGGGATATATTTAACTTTATCATGGATGATAAGGCTAAGAATGTGTCACTGGGGGTGATTACACTTTCGTCATCATTGTTTTTCCTCTCATCTTCGGAGTGGCTGTCGATATCGTTAAAGCAGTCCTCGGTCTTGTTCGCTCTGTTCCGGCTCGGCACGTCATCTGCCACGTCGCCCGTCACTTGGCGGGTCACTTGACACGTCACTTCGCGTGTCACTTCGCCGCCCATTTCGCCGCCTACTTCGCATGTCAATTCGTTTAATGGACTGTCTCCAACTTTAGGCTTCTTCACATTTTCCCGTTTTGTAAAATTTCCCTCTGCAATCTCCGCCCCTGGTCCATGTTCCTCGCTTTTCAATTTTCTTTTTTTCCTTTCCTCGCCCGCCTGTTGGGCGACATCATCGTTCAATCCGCTCCGTCCGTTTACTCTTCCTGCTTCGGCCAATCCGTCCGTTTGCTCCTCCTCCACCCCGCCCTGTACAGTGTCGCTGCCCCCCAAGGATGGCGTCGAACTACACGACCCGTGCGTCCCGCTATTTTCGCGCGTCGTGTTGGACAAACTTCCGTCATTTCTTGACACATTCGTGGTGACCTCGAATTCGTCAGTCCCCTGTGTGTTTCCCGTTTCGGCGCGTTCCTCGCTCCGTTTGAGATGATCCGTTTCATGGCTGCTTCCATCGGAGGGTTCTTCCTCGGGGGCGGACGTGTCGTCATGAGGGTCGGCCTGCAGGTCGTCCAGTATACTACCATGCAAGTCGCCGTGGGCATCGTTAGGGGCACAACTTTTTGGAGCGTTCTTACTTGCTTCATCGCGGACCATTTGTCTTAATTTGGTTTTTCCCCCGGGCAGGGGCATGTTGAGTTTCACCGCGTCATCCCCCGTGCCATTAGTCACATGGCCCTGCTCCTCCGTTACGTCACACTCGCTGTAATCCGATGTGTCCTCATCGCAACTGTCCGTTTTGTCACTGTCGTCATTCCACGTGATGTCGCTGTCAATATAGGAGTCGCTATCAGAGTAGCAAGAAAATTTCGATTCACTCAAAATTTTGTTAACCAAATTTTTTTTCACCTCACTATCGTCTACATCTTTAATGGCCACAATCTTCTCATTCGAGTTCATCACCTTCAGCAGCACAGGATCTGCCGCATCCGCCGCATCTACAGCATCTGCACAATCTGCATCCTCTTCTGGGAGGGTTAAGAAATCATGACGAATCTGTATCGTATAAACGACAGCCGATTTTTCATTCATAAAAATTGTATCCATAAAAAAGTTACTATTTATGTAGGCGTATTTATTAACCATATGTTCCATGTATTTTGCAAAATTGGGGGAATTTTCTTTTTTCTTTTTTATGATATATTTCTGTTTCATTACTCTCTTGAGAAGATGATCAGATGTGTTGTATATTTGCGCTACTTTGAATGGTAACTGCATGTGTGCTAGCGGGCACTTGCTGACGTGTGCGAGGCCGAACTTAAAATGGGGGATGTTCAGGTGGTCGATGAGGTATATCAGCACTTTGCCACTCTCGCTGTATATCAGTAGGTACAGCTTCGTAAGGTATTCCTTTGTAGCGGATGTGCCGCTTGTTTCTTCTTCATGGGCTCCTTCTACCCCCCCACTTTGGCCTTCCCCTTTGGGTACTTCTTTGGAGTCTACAAAATCGTAGGGGGGTTCCCCATCGTGGGATTTTTCTCCCTCGTTGGCAGGACTGACATGTCTCACTTCTTCACCTCGCCCGTTGGAGGTACCAAGATGTCTCCCTTCTGGTGCGGACTCCTCCCCAAAGTTGCAATCCCTCGAATGGTGCCTGACTTTGAAAAAAAAAACCCCTTTTATGGACTCATCATTTAGCATCCTTATATCGAGCTTGGTAAGGCACTTTTGTTTATTCTTCACTTTCCCCTTTACCAATTTGTACACAGTGACATCCTTACATGAGTAACTACAGACGTGTATGACCTCTTTGTATTCATTCCTCCCCTGCAGGTGTTCATTTCGGTGCGAATGGTATACATGCTCCTCCTGTCGGCATTTTGCAGGGAGACTCATGTTCGTATTACACAGTTTCAATGTTTTGTCCTTCAGGCAAAGTAGCTTCAAAAAGTATATTCTACTTTTTGTACTCAAATATATCATGTTCTTCTTATGCGAGCAGAAATTCACCTTCACAGGAGGCTCCTTCAAATTTAGCATAATACTACATCTCCCATTAGTCCTCGCTTGAAATAGGGAACATTTATTCTTTTGTATAAATATGATGTTTTTTTTAAAATATACAAAATCGATTGGCTCGCAATCATTCAAATTTATTAATGTGTTTTTTTTTTTTTTCCCCCAATCGTAGAGAGAAAAGGTGTCATCTGAGAGCATCACCAAATCGGAGCTGTTATGTAGGTACCCTTTCAAGAATGCTTCAGACGACATGGAGCTGTTAATTTCATATTGCCTTGACTTATCGTTCTTTGACTTTAATTTGAACAATCGGACGCTGTATTTTCCACCCTTCTCATTACTATCCACGTGATTTATTAGCAGGTCGTTTCCCTCCATGTGTATGACATCTCCGTTGTAATCCCTCATCATTCTGTTGGAGGCATTTATTTTTTCCAAACTTGGGGCAAAAACTGCTGAAACGCTCTCTCTGCAACGTCGAAATTTTTTCTCCTCATAAAAGCGTTCCCCCTTTTTGGGACAAACTAACAGTGATGTTACTAATGTCGCGGACGTGTCTGTGGGGAGGAACGTGCACTGGGTGGTAATTCCCAGTGTGGCGACAAACCCTTTGTGCTCTCTTTGCCTCACCTATCGGGGAGTGACAGAGCAAATCTTCCTACCACAAATGGGGGGCATATCGATTTGGCTGCCAACTAGAACATGAATTATAAAAGTATGAAATTTTTCAAACCCATGCAAAATTGGAACATATGCATATGTAGCGATAACTTCATGGGCATATATGTCGCGTCGTTGAAGGGGCTCGCTTCTCCTCCTTTGCTGCTATCAGGGTGACGCACGGACGACTTTCCAAGACGATGCCTCCCCCCTTTGTTTACCTATGTAGTTCCTCCCCCGCTTCTACTCTTCACACCATATGTTTGCCTTCAGCGTTATGTACCTATCTGGGCTCGAAAGATGGTACAATATTCTGTACGCCTTCTCTGAACCGCTTCTGTGCCTCTGTGCTCTTCTATACGCCTCTCTACGTGGTATGCTCCTCCACAGTTTCGCTTCCCCCAATTGTTCAAGGGGCAACCCACAATTTTTAAAAATGCTCAAATTTTTGCTTTTTTCAAAGCCGAAAGGGGAAAAAAAGGGGGTAATGTTTTGAAACAAAAAAATTATTTCAATTTGGATGCTAGAACATACGCAAGTACAAATACAACGTAAATGTAAATAAAATACCATGCGCTTCTCCCGTTCTTTTTTTTTTTTTTTTTTACGTTTTCTTGGCTACATAAATGCAACGCGAAATGGTGTCAAAAAGGGATTTCCTCAAAAACACAAATGGCAGTTTTCCTCCTTTTTTCATGCAGCAGGAAAATTTGCCCTACATTTTAGGTATTATTTTTTTTTTTTTTTCCATAAAGCAACAGTGTGGTATCAAGCATACAAAATGGATTTTTTTTTTTTTCTCGGGGGTTGTATTTTTTTCCAAGCCAAAAAAGAGTATTCAACTTTAGTAGTAAATATATAAACAAACTGTTTCTGCGTAATGAGAAATATAGAGGTGGCAAAATACGGGTAGCGAGCCATGCGAAGCAAGAAAAGCGACTGCATGGCTGACTGGTCTATGTATCACATCGCATAAGATAATACGCACAACAGAAGGTATATTTCTTTACCCCTTCCACCAATCTGAGTCGTATAAATGGATATAAGGTAACACCTTTTTTTTTTTTTACGTGCTCTCACCACATTTTGACCCCCCCCTAAAATGTTTTTACTCAAAAAATGAACATTTGAAAATTCTGTTCATCCGTCACATGAACAGGCAAATACTTCTACAAGTATATATAGCCACTTTGCGAAAAGTTAAATTTTTTTTTTTTAATACATCTTCAACGCAAGGTCTGTGGAAAAAAGAAATATAAGCATGTTCCATCGGCTCGCAGGCCCATTTGACGAACGGAAAGCGTGAATAATGTAAACGAAAGAAGAAACTCTGGTGTCACTCACATTGTTCACGAAGCGTCAAAGAAAAATATATACACAAATGGGCATATTACAAGGGAGACAACACCCCTGGTGATAGAGAACCCCGCGTAGTTCGTTCCATTTCGACTGGTGTAAACGGCCAAACGGCTGAATTGAAAAAAGAAAGAGACAAATATTCCCCCACTGTTTATACAGCTCTGTGATGCTTATGTTATAATTGGAAGCTATACCCTTGTGAGAGTAATACCCTTCTAGGGCGAGGAACAATATGTAGTCAAAACAACAGAGAAAGTGGCTTTGTCCCTTTCGAATAAGTACAACTTAAGCTGTACGATTTGTTGCAATCGCGCAAAAGGGTTACCCAATAGGTCTAATTCCACCGTCCATGCGTTTTGTTGGATTATTTTTTTTTTTCCTTGCCGGAGGGAGGTCCTCACGTTCGTGCAAGGAGCTAAAAAAGAAGCCTTGACGAGAGAGACATAAAACCGGACTGCGCTCATAAAGGAAATTTCCTTGTAACGCTTCCCATGGGGATAATAGCTCTTTTACCACCCCATTTGAACAGCTCACAGGGTGACGCCAAAGAGGCAATTTCGGCTATGTACCTAGTTTTTTTCCAATTGTGCAATTTGTAACCCTGGTACATAATGCCTTATGTTTCCTTTTCCATTTTTTCCTTCGATTTGGGGCTGAATGGAATGTTTTTCTATGACGAATGAAAAAGGTGTGCTTCTTCCCTGTTGAAGTAGGCGAAATGTCTGTGTAGATGAGCGACACGCCAATTTGTATAGCCACACCGATGATTTGTCCTTATTATGTGCACAACACTCACGCAAGTCATTTTCAGTGGACCGATCATTTGGCAGAAGGAGGGAAAAAAAAGGGTAATGCAAAAGTATGGACACTGGACACTGTTTCTTGGGATGACCCCTTTTTCTTGTCATGCTTTCGGTGCGAACTCTTTGTGTGTACACCTCGGCTACCATATATTTTACGATAATAATGCATAATATTAACAGCAGGGGGAGGGAACAACTTCATTGAGAGGGAAAATCCACGGTGTGAGAGCAAATAAATGTCAAATAAACATGGCTGTGACGTTTTAATCCTCCTTTGAAATGGCTAAATGGATGAAATAGAATTTTGTTTTTTTTTTTTACCAAATTAATGTAGACAAAAATTATGGGAAGAGAAGGGATATTTCCCCCATTTTTTTTTTCTTCACCTTTTTGTAAAGGGCTCCTGCAACCATGCATCCAGGTGTGCAGCAAAGGCAACAGGCAGTAGTGTCTTAAAAATAGGCTAACGTGTGAGCAGCCATATTGAAAAGAAGCCAATGCGGACGGAATGACGTGGCTGTATTTGCGTACTTTTTACTGGAAGGAATAGCGTTTCAGAATTCAAAAAGATAAAGCAGAATGAAGCAAAAGAAACCATGGTTTGAAAAGACCGCGCGGGGGAAGAAACCAGCCCGTGTACATACATCCGCACGCGTGCGTATTGCATTTCCATGTGGGATAAGCCGTGTCTGCATTTGCGCGCCAGGCTGGTCCTGCAGAGTGCCAGCCCGCGGGCACGCACAGCTGGGGGTGTTAATATGTATAAATATATATACACTCACCCAAGCATATGTGTGCTCCCGGACAAGCAATACATTGCGCTGAGCGGCCAGCGCGGAAGGTGAAAAATAGCTTTACAGGCCAAAACGGGGGGCACATGCATATCGCGAATCTGCATATGTGGAAACGTACAAATGTACTTCGGTACATGTATGTGTCCTATATATATATCCAAGTAGCCAATTCTAAAAAAAAGACTAATATTTGCCTGAACGTTCATAAAAAAAAAAAAAAATACAGACACGAACGAAAAGAAAGGGAAGGAAGAAAAGAAAGGAAATAAATGAAGTAAGGAAATAAAGGAGGTAAGGAAATAAACTAAGGAAAAAAAGTCAAACTACTAAAAAAACACAAAAAAGGTAACAAAACTTAGCATAAATGTGAACGCACAATGTGGTAGATAAATTAATGACAAAGATGTGTACAACCAACCATAATAAATCATCTGTAACCCCAAAATGAAAAAAAAAAATATATATAGCTAAAAAGTTATGCGTTATTTTGAAGTGATTTACCACCCATAAGCTTTCTTAAAGGTAATCAAAAAAAAAAAAAAAAAAAATTATAAAAATCACACACATCCTACTCCCACAAAGGGGTAAAAAAAACAAAACAAAAATGATGGCCCGATGATGGCCAAATGATCGCTAAATGACTGCCAAAATGATCGTCAACAATGAATGCCAATGTGAATGCCAAAAAAAGTTGTTATACATGTCAAACTTGGCGAGATTTTTCTTTCATTTTTGCTAACTTAAAACGTTCGTGAAAAGTTTCACCCTCGTTTGGTTCGCTTTTCTTTTTTTTTCAATCCGTATAAAATTGTACATATTGCATATATGTTATAATGAACACCATTTGACATAACACAATTATGTACCTTTTTTGCTATCCGAAACGAAATAGCTTTTAATATGTATTTAATAGAAAAAATTTTAACAGTTTGGTGAACAACAACCACTTACTCGCGAAGCACAAATGCATATATTTTTTTTTCCCTTTCCTTTTGTACTACAAATTGGGGAAGACCTTGCGCGCGCATGATAGCGTACTTGGATGGCTGGTAAGTTTTTTATACTCGGAATTTTATTTTATTCTTAGTTCGCCGTTCTAGTTGAATGAAGCGTTTTTTCTAATCCGTATTGTGCTGTGGGTGTGTTCATTTGTGCGCCGTGTGCCTATAAGTAGGCTTCTACGCTTGTTCTACGGTTATTGACCTTACTAGTACGCCCATTTGTACGCTTCCCTTCGCGCTCATATACATACGTTCACTCGTTTACATTATACCTTGCTTTTTTTCCCCAAAAGTCGAAGGAAATCCGCATAGTATAACAATCGGGTGAAACATATTTGCGCCATTATATGTAATCACGAACATATACGCAATATATTTATACACGTGTATATTTTTACGAAACATGTACATGCTAATAATTCATTCACGTCGCGCAGTGTGTCCACCTGTATATATATAAATAATATATATACGTAATGTAAATATCCGTAATGTATCTGTAAATATATACGTAATATATACTATATAATATTTATCGCGTACAGTAACATGCCTGGTATTATACACATAAAAAATAATACGTACCTCGCTTATCTGCACTATATACCTAATGTTGACTAAGAAAAATTAAAGATAAATTTTGAATTCAAGAGGTATAAGAACGCCTGACTTAATGTAAGAAACAAACCACCAGAAGCGAAGCTTTTCCGAGGAAAAAAAAAATAAAATACAGAATAAGAAAGAAAAAAAAAGTAAAAAAAGAAAAAAAAAAATTATGTATATATATACATACA